CAGAGTTATTACACAAAAACCATTAATATTTTTTTAATTTCGGAAATTAATCTAGTGATTGGATTTCGACGTATTTTTTACCATTAGAACCGTCTCATCAAGACGAATCGAATGGCGATAAGATCATCTCTCTACGATTAATATTGGCGAAGTTACGATACAATAAAGTTTTAAGTATAATTCTGGCTAAAATTATGTTAATTTTTGGCCGGAATTATGATATACAAATATAAGAAATTTTTTATATAGTCACATTTTTTTATAATTACCAAATATGGACTGTCCCAAATGTGTGACTATAAAGAGAGTTGACTGTACCTCAAGTTGATCCTTTCACATCTCGTTTAAATGGAATTTTCTGGATGACTTCTGATTAACAAATGCTTTATAGTCAATATAATGATGTTGTTTTACATAATAATACAGCACTTACAAATCACTATAAGTGGCCATTATCTTTATTTGTTATTGTAGACTGTGATAATAAAACATGACTGATTGCACAAGCATTTGTACAAACCGAAACCCTAGAGACATATCTTTGGATTTTACAATGCCTAAAATGAACTTCTATTGAACCAGGTGTAATAATTACTAACGTGGATCCAGCGATGATTGGTGCTTAAGGATGGTGCCGTAATTGGGCAATTGCGGATTAATTGCGAATCCGCAATATTGCGGATTTGCAGATTTCAGAAGTCTAAATATCCGCAAATCTGCAAACCGCAATTATCCGCAAATCTGTAAAAAATCCACAAATTCACCAATTAAATACTGTATCACTTCATCATGTATTAGTCGTACCAATCATTACTCAATCTATATATTTACATCGAATCATCAAATTTAGTATTATTACTCACTCTATTATAATATAATGCATCAAAACATCAAAACAATCAGTGTATCTAAATTCTTCTTTTTCTATTTACTTTTTTCTACAATTTATTATCAATGTCAAAAACACCTTCTTCGGCTCTTAATTTAAAGATTCGTGGAAAAAAAGTTGAGCTATTGCCCGAAGATGAAGAATTAATTTCATTAGCACTGTCAATTATTTGGACAAAGTCTAATAAAAAAATTGAATCATGTAATTTCGACCAAGATAAAGTAAGATTATCTTTCAAAAAGAATGAAGGACGCGTTTATTTTGACTTGCAAGAATCGGCTTTAGATTTTACATTCATCAATAAGGTATTCCATAAGGCCCTTTTTTAAATGATTTCGATTTCGTTTATAATTTTTTTTTTCAGTCCACTTTTTTCCCTTGAATTTTCGTTTCTGGACAATTTTATCCACTTTTTTTTGTTCTACCTTTTTCTCTTGAATTTTCATTTCTGGACAATTTTGTCCACTTTTTTTTGTTCTACCTTTTTTCCTTGAATTTCCGTTTCTGGATAATTTTGTCCACTTTTCGTTTCTGAACCACTTTTTTCCCTTGGTATCAGAACCATTTCATTTTAGAACAAATAATTTCATTTCTGGACAAAATTCATTACTTTTTAGGGTAATTTGGCTAAACTTGAACGCTACAAATCGCTATATGAATTATATAAAGGTAGATACGAAGTAATTCGTTTACATTTAAATATGTGAATGAATTTTAATATTTATATCTTAATTTTGTTTATATTTTATTTGTTTATTTATATATTTTCTAATAATAGCCAGAAAATACACGTTCAACTAGTACATCTCGTACAACTGGTAGTGTGAATGAATCATTAAAAGAATTGTTACAATATTCAACACCCGAACACACATGTCTAGAATCCTCTCCCAGCTCGTCATTATATCTTAAGCCTAACTATTCAGAACTTGCCCGTGTGTTAAACAGTGATTTATCCATAAATAATCTTTCAACCTCTGATACTGAAACAAAAATTTGGTCAAATTTGAATCTGCGCTGTATCGAAAAGTTTGGCAGACAAGATCACATAAAAAATGATGTTTCTATTTCTGACATAATGTGGGCTAGTACAACCTTACCTGCGTACCGCAGCTGGAACACAATGAAGAATTATTATGATGATATTGATAATTGGATTGCAAAAATTAGTAGCTTCTGTAAGTTAAATTTATCAAATTCTGAAATTGTTCTTGATTATTATATTTTTCTTATAATATTTATATCTAAATTTTCTAGGTACTGCAAAGGATGATGAGGATAACAATTTTCAACCTGCTGAAGCTGCAAATTCAAGTTCTACTAGGGGTAAATCTGGCAACAGTGAAATTAATGAATCTAACCCACCTTCACAATACAAAGTAGTTCCAGCATCAAGATTGAGAGCACGAGCATCAACCACTGAAGTAGAAACATCGATAAAACCACCAACAAGATCAATAACATCTAAAGTAAAATTAGCAACACAAGTGCCAACTAGAGAAGTGATCGTATTTATAGAATCACGAGTACCAACTTCAGAAATGAATTCATCGGCGGAGGTACCTCCAGAAATGACATTGGCGAAATCAGCAGAATCAAGTGTGGCAGAATCACGAGCACTTTCAGAAATGGCAGTGGAGGAATCAGTAGAATCAGCAGAATCACAAGCACTAGCTTCAGAAATGGAGGAATTGGAAGAATTAGAAGCATCAACATCTATGTTGTTATCAAAATCCATTGTACGAAAATGTAATTTCTCAGATGATGATGACGACGACGACGATGATAAAGCCAAATTATTAAATTCTACCCAATTGTTATTATTCAAAAAGGGAAAGAAACTTCATGATATTTTGTTAGCAGATTTATCGTTTAATGGTGAACTAATTGCTTCTGAAGAATTAAAAGTATTAGATATATCAGATATATCCAATAACTTGAATGAAATGCTGAAAGATGACCCAGTCAAAATCGTTGATGAGAAATCTGCTAAAGATCGAATCGATCAATGGCGAAGGCAAGAATTACAATGTGAAAATTTTGTTATAGCCGCTAAATCTTTTAATTTATTACATTTGGTGTCCTTAGTCCAAATTTATGATGATCTATTTAAACTTGGAGAAAAATTAAGAACTGACCCTAAAAATAATATAAAAACTGCAAAATCTTGGGTTATTCAGTTCATACGGTCTGTGCTTAAAATTGGCGACAAAATGGAACAAAGAAATAGAGTAGGATGCGATCGATTACGAAGGTTATTTAATGAAGAAATCACGAGTACGCAACTTGCGAAAGCTGGGTGCCGTAAGTGTGATTTTTTCGTTAAACAAGAATATTATGAAGTATTTTTGTCCCAAATTCCTACATTAGAAACTCATCGATCAATTTCAAGTTTGTCGAACGAACGTCTTTCTATCTAATGTTTCATCATTCATACTTGTTTCATCAGATTGATGTTCATTAAAACTATCATCATCATTCTCATTCATAATTTCTTCTTCTTCTTCAAATACTGTATTCAGCATGAGTTGAATATCATCATCTAACTTTGAACTGCTATCAACGTTACTTGTATAATTTAAGTCTTTTTTAGCATGTTTGAGAGAATAAAGATATATTTTCGCCATTGTTTCTATAGTTTCTGGTTGCAAATTTATACGTCTCCTACCAAAGAGCCATCCCATGGCTGAAAATAATCTTTCACAACTTGCCGAGTGTGGGGTTATTGAAAATATTACTTTAGCTAGTCGCGAAAGAGAAGAAAATTTCCTATCAACTATGGAATTCCACCAATGGTAAGCTGTGTCATGAACTGAATAAGACGTGTTATATGGTTCAGAATTATCAAAGTATGCACGAAGTTGTGCATCAAGTTCTAATCCAGAATTTTTTTTATGCCCAAGGTTTTTCCAGATTCGAAGGGCACACTTTCTAAGACGCTCAAATTGATTATTACGTATTCCATGTCCTAACAAATTTGTAAATTTATATTATTAAATGAATTTAAATAACAATAAAAAAAATAATTACCTCTGTATTTAGGATGAAGGAAGAAACCTAACAAATAGATATCCTCGTCAAACTCTTTATATCTATTAAAAAAATATTTAAAATTAAACATTAATTTTGAATCTTCTATTAAAGATACTAACTGAATACATTACCGCTTATTAAAAATGCTAATACAAGAGTTTCTTAACTCTTTATAATCATCAGTTGGCATTGACTTAAAAAATGCTGCGATACGAAGAAGATGCAGATAACAATCTGCTAAAGTTACATTACTTCCTTCTAACATGAGAATTGCTTTTTTTATCTGCTCCAAAATATCTGATAAAATATTAATGTCATCAAAAAACCCTCTTTTTTTCAAAATTGCTTTTACAGCTTCATTAGAGATTTCGCGTTCATGATTGTCCAGGACTTAATTGAATAAACATTTTTGTATTAGGTTTTAAGTATTAGGTTTTAATTATTATTCATTTAAATATAAAGTATACGTACATGTAATAAAGCATCTTTTAATCTGTACACCGAAGATGTACATTTATGGACTGTCGTCCATCTTATTTTGATGTACGTTTTCAGCCCTCCACCTGCAATATTTTTTGCATCAATCGCTTCTTTAAGCCAAGTGCTGGCAAGGGTTGAATTTTTGAAGTATCTTGTTAAAATATTTGCTCGTTTTACAAGACATTTAACTTGATCTACTTTGACAATATCACTACTTATCAGATTGATGCAATGGGCGATGCATCGTATATTGATAATGGATGGATGTTCATTCGTGATTATTCGACGGGCACTTGCGACATTGGCAGCATTATCGCTGACAATAGCGACAATTTTGCTTATACCCACTTTACAAATTATATCATTTATAACATTTGATAAATATTCTGCGGTATGTGAATTTTTAGAAAGGTCTTCAAGTTGTAATAAATATTCCTTTCTCGATGGTGTTAGCAAAATAAACGCCCATAGGTTATTCCCTCGAGGGTCCGTCTAACCATCAAGAGCTAATAAAAAATACATGGATAGTTATTTTTTCAATAAAATATTTTGAAGCAATTATAGAAATTATAGATTTACCGATAGTAAAATTAGACTTTTTTTCTAATTCATTGTTGACTCGTGCATTGACTCTGGATAATTCTGCCTCCAATAAAGTACCGCTTAGTACTCGTCGTGAAGGTGGATCGTATCCTGGCTCCAGCGCCTTTATCATGTCGATAAACCAAAGATTATCGATTGTGCTAAAGGGTATGTTGCACATCACGTAGGCTTTCGTTATCACCTGGTCTAATTCATCACTCCGTCCTTTTTCTATTTTACTTCCTCCGTAAAAATTCTTAATTTCCGTTTGTCGAGCCCTTTTGTTAGGATAAACTGATTCATCTTCATCTGCGCTTTCTTCCTCTTCTTTAGCAAGACTTTCCCGACAATTTTGGCAAAATGCAATGAAACATTATCAGGGCATTTTTTACAGTAGTTCGCCAAATGTGCACGAAGGACTTGGGGCCTTCCCTATCTCCAGTATTGTTGACAGTAACTACACGTCGCTAAATAGTGTCCTCTCAACTGCATTTTACCTTGTATCATATGATTACACCATACATCTGATGGTGGTCGACCTTTGCTTACCTCAGAAGGACCGCTTGACATGACGTTATAAAGAGCAAAACTTGAAATTAAAAGAGTTTGTCATCAATATCATTTTTAAAGTATGATTTAATAGTACAAGATGTTGATTGATTAAGATCACGCCTAATTGTAATAATGTGAAAATTTGTAAATTTAACTGGACAAAGAGAAAAATTGGACAAAATTGTCCAGAAGCAATACAAGGAATAAGGTGACCAAAATTGTCCAGAAATGATACAAGAAAAAAAGTAGACAAAATTGTCCAGAAGCGATGAATGTCCAAAAATGATAGAAAAAAAGGTGGACAAAATTGTCCAGAAGCGATGATGAATGTCCAAAAATGATAGAAAAAAAAGTGGACAAAATTGTCCAGAAGCGATGAATGATAGAAAAAAAAGTGGACAAAATTGTTCAGAAGCGATGATGAATGTCCAAAAATGATAGAAAAAAAAGTGGACAAAATTGTCCAGAAGCGATGAATGTCTAAAAATGATAGAAAAAAAAGTGGACAAAATTGTCCAGAAGCAATGAATGTCCAAAAATGATAGAAAAAAAAGTGGACAAAATTGTCCAGAAATATTACGAGTAAAAAGTGGATAAAATTGAATCAAAGAAGTCTTGGTATAACATGATATCATCATCAGACGATGTTGATTGTGATGAATAAATAGTATGTTTAATTCAGTATAATAACTTTGACAAAAAAAAAATTATAAAGATAACAGTTCTAATTTCAACAATTTTTAATATGTCGGGATGATGAATTCTTTATTTTGACTTGATGGTTTTTTACTTGATATTATTTTAAACATTGCGGATTTGTGATACAGTGCTTGGTTACGGATTTATTGCGGACTTGCGGATTCATTGCGGATTTGTGATACAGTATTGATTTGCGGATTCATTACAGATTTGTGATACAGTATTCATTTGCGGATTCGTTGCGGATTTGCAGATTTATTGTGGACTTGCGGATTCATTGCGGATTTGCGATACAGTATTGATTTGTGGATTCGTTGCGGACTTGCGGATTCATTGTGGACTTGCGGATTCATTGCGGATTTGTGGATTCGTTGCGGATTTGCGGACTCATATGCACAATTAAATTCTTAAATCCGCAATATTGCAGATTTGAAAAAGCAATTTCGGCGCCATCCTTATTGGTGCTATCCAGCAAGAATTACCAAACACCCATCATATACATTGTATATTTCATATTCATCAAAATTTACCTCGTAAATTAAAAGATATATTGGGAAAGGATTATTTAAAGTTTGTTAGTGAATTTTATAAAATACGAAATTCTTTATCTGAAGAAATATTTGAAGTTAATTGGAATAATTTAAAGAATACTTACTGTCAAGCTGAAAACTATCTTCAAAATACTCTTTATAAATGTAAAGAATCTTGGACATCTTGTTACACTCTTAGTAAATTTTTTACAGCAGGTATGCAATCCACCCAGCGTATAGAAGGTCTTAATGGAATATTACACAGAGAAATAGAAGTTAGCATGTCTCTTACAAATACATTTCATAAAATAATTGAAAGGCTTGAGACCAAAAATATGAATAAAAGGTAGTTAAAAGTGTATAGTTAGTTTGGTATATATTGTTTAATTTTAGTATAATAATTCTAATATTGCTTATTTAGATTTTTGATGTTTAAGCATTCAAAAACACATTATTTTCAACCTCTAATGGTTACAAGTGTATTTTGGAAAGTTAATATACTATTAAACGAATGGTTATTCTCTTCCTTATGTGCAGAACATCAAAAACAAATTTGTGAAGCTTCAACTTATCATGCAAAACTAATTGGAGACAATGATATTTTTGAATTATTACATTATCAAGAAGAATTAGATTTAGAGAATCAAATTAATCCAGAATTAATTAACAATAAAGATGAATCAACAATTGCCATATTTATTGAAGATAAGTATGAAGATAAAAAAAACTTCTTTTACAAGAATTTAATATTGATGATATACGTGAAATTTTGAAAGTTGAATCATTATTGGCTCGTTTACCAACTTCTTGTCAATATGTAGTAATCTTAAAAAATGGCTGGCATGCATGTACCTGTTTATTATTAGCTAATAGTGGAGTAATTTGCCGCCATTATTTTAAAGTAATGATGGAATCTAATTTTGCGAAATTTCATATTAATATGATTCCAAAAAGATGGTATAAGGAATATTTACAATCAAATTTGATGAAAATTAATAATTTACCAGTTGTTACACTTGGTAATGAATGTAATAATGTGCATAATATTAATAAATCAGATAGAGATCAGCTAATTGATATTGACTTTACATAAACAAATATTTTTAATCAATGCTATCAATCACCTACTATTCAAAAACAAGCTTTTAAAAAAATGAGTATGCTATTTTAACAGGACTTTCAAGAAAGGCTTCTCAATTAGCAATAGAAGATGTGAATGATGAATTAAAAGATTTTTTAAATAAATTTATTGGAAAAAAAAAAAATCGTGAGGTGCAAGAATCAAATAGGAGTAAATAAAAATGTAAGAAGTGCAGAAATTAATGTAAAATTGTTTTTGAAGCTAATGGATAAAATTTAGTATAGAAATTTCTGGGAAAAGCAGTGGTAATATTTTAGGTAAAGAAAATGCCAATAAAAAGGAATATATATATAGTAAATGTAAAGAAATAGGACATAATGCAAGAACATGTAAAAAGTAAATAGAAGATTTATATATTCTTACATGCTAAAATTTAAAGTTACTTAATAGTTGTGTTAAATAATAATTGCGTTGAATGCAAGACTTAGGGTTAGTTTAGGGTTAGGTGGTTAAGATCTATAGTAATTTAATATATAATTTGCGTTAAGTATGAGACTTAAGGTTAGTTTAAAGTTAGGAGGTTAGGATTTATGTAGTAATTTAATATATATTTGCAATAAAAAAACAATAAAGCAATAAAAAACCTATTAAAATTTTAAAGTTGTTTGATAATTGACATTTAGTACAAGACTTAGGGTTAGTTTAGGGTTAGACGGTTATGATTTTATATACATTACAGACATAAAATTAAAATATATTTTATCACATAATTATCATGTAATATAAACGAGGGCTGTAAAATAACGGGAGGGGTAATTAGAGCTTCACAACCTGACCTGACAGATTGGGTGACCCAACGGGTTGACCTGAAATATTCAGGTCAGGTCATCAAATTTATGACCTGATACGAGTTGGGTTAGTGCTGATCGGTACCTGATCTGACCGGCTGACCCGTTGATCTGACATATATTTTGGTCAAATAAATTAAATAACACTGAAACTTATAATGATTCTAGCGTTTTTGGTACAGTAACAAATCTAGCGAAAAATGATGAAAGAACAAGAGAAGTATAAAAAGAGATTTACGAATAGCCTCAAAAATCATAAGAATAAATGGAATTACACTAATAATAGATTTGAGTCAAAGCCAGTAGTTTCCAAACATCAATTGAAACGAAGATGTGATATTCTTAAGAAACATTATATATCAAACAAGGAATTGGAGTTTCTGTTAGACCAAGTTACAAGTAGATTAGAATACAACATGTTGAAAGAAGATATTTTTATTAACCATTCCTTCAACAGTGAATATTTTCTTGAATTAAGAAAGAAAAAAGAAGCTGCTTTTGAACGTGAAGATATTAAGGTAGCAGAATAGTCGTCTAGTGCTGGTAAGAATACTATGGTCGACAATATTACTACAAATTTTCAAGAGCTAGAAATTAGAGAACAAGATAATGTATGTGCTTCCCTGGTAAGAAATACTACTTTACTAAAAATGGCCAATTTTTTGAAATATTTTTATAGACCTAGATACAATGGCTTTCAAAACAATTGTGCAATTATTTTGTAAAATTTTTAAAATATATCAAAATATATTTAAGGTATTTTTGAGATTAAAATATTAAAATAATATCAAAGTTAATTATATTATAATAATAAAATAATAACAAAAACATTAAAAAATTATTGTGATATTATTTTGAGTTATTTTTATAGACCTAAATACAATACAATTACAAAATAATAGCAAAAATATAATAAAAACATTTTGATGTATTAAATGTATTTTTGTAGTATTTTAAAATTATTACAAAATCATTTCAAAAAATTGGTCATTTTTAGTAAAGTACGTAGAGAAATACCGATTACAAGGCCTGAATTTCATAGGAAGTTGAATAGTGTCAGAGATCTTAAAACTCTGACGACATATTGTAATGGAGTTAGAAACAAAAGACTTGCTTATAAATTGTCTTATAATTATGTTATTGGTTAATGTGAAATAAGGGCTCGTAAGATAAAGAACATTTCGTGGTGTTAAGTAGGTATAAATAAGTAATTAGTTATTCTTGTTTTGTTTTTCTATTTTCTTTTGTGGGATGGCTAATTATTAAGAAACAAATTATCAAAAGGGAAAAAATGAATAATTATTTTAGGATTTTAAATCATTCCTTATCTGATAATATTTACATAAGGCTATTTGGTTAGAAAGAAAAATATATAGACAGATTGTCTATTGAATTTATTTTTTAGTTTCACATCATTTCATATTTGATTATATTTACATATGGCAAATTTTATTTGAAAGAAAAATATATAGACTTCTTTTAGTAGTTTTAAAGAATTAATTATAAATCGTTTCATCATTCTATATTCGATAGTATGTACATACAGCTTTTTTAATAAAGAAAGAATCATACATGCACGTTATTTATTATGTGTAGCGATTAAAAATTTTTTTAGCTAAAATTATACAGGAGTATTCAAGAGATGATATAGATACACAAGAATTAAAAGGTAAAATTAATGAGCTTGGTATGTGGGATATTGGATGTTTATATGATTTTACATTTTTAATGAAGAATCAAGTTAGTTGTCAGTTAATAGAATTATTAAGGTGCTATAAAATAACTGAAGAAAAATTGTTGTATAAGGTACTGAAACAAATAACTGGGAGAGTTTTATTAGAATTCAAAGTGCTTATTTGGGAACTAAGGAACAAGTTACAAATAAAGGAAGAAAAGCGGTGCGGTATTAGCGGTAAAAATAAAAAAGCTAAGTCACATAGTAAACGCACTGAAGTGGGTGTTAAAGATGTTGGCTGTAAGATATTAGAAAGTAATTGAATAAATGGAATGATTTGGCATTCCATCGAGACGGTCATTGAGCAAATTTTTAGGTAGATCATGACAGTCACCTTTGAATTTGAGGTCGCATCATGGTTTTTAACAATGATGTGATCGTTTAGGTGACAGGTCGACTTGTTCTTTATGAAAAGTAGTCTTGTTTTATAATGCTTAATTCTTATATGTATTTATTTATCTTATATTTTGTAAGTTTATATATGTAAGTAAGCGTGATTATAATAGGACATGATCGCATCTATAATAAAGTATTAAAAAAAAAAAAATGATTCTGGCGTTTTTTCATGTACAATCAAAAAAAAATTGCTGAAACTGATAGTTTGGCGTTTTTTCATGTAAAATCAAAAAAAAATGGCAGAACTAATTATTTCAGCATTTTTATATATAAAATCAAAAGAAAAATGCTGGAACTATTTATTCCAGCGTTTTTACATGTAAAATCAAAAAAAATGCCAAAACTATCTGTTTCAGTATTTTTAAATACCAGAACTAATGATTCTGGCATTTTTACATGTAAAATCAAAAAAAAAATGTTGAAACTATCAGTTTCAGCGTTTTTACATGTAAAATCAAAAGGAAAAACGCTGAAACAAATAGTTTCAGCGTTTTATATATAAAAACAAAAAGTAAAAAATGTTGCAAAACGTTTTTTTACAATATTTAATAATAAAACTTTAGGTAACCCGAGTTACCTGAAGTAACCCAAATACTTTTAGGTCAAATGGGTCAGGTCAGGTCAGAATGGTTTATCTGACCTGACTTAATTTGAAAAAAATTTTGGTTCAGGTTAACCAGGTAATCTGAACTGACCTGACCCATGCGGAGCTTTAGGGGTGATAAATAAATTTTTCCTTAATTAAAAAAATATTATAAACATTTTTCAAAGTAATTTTAATTAAAAATGTTTTTGCAATGTTATTTAAATTAACTTAATAAAAAAATATTGCAAACCATTTTTTCTAATTAAAAAATATTTTTGCAATATTTTTTATTATAGAATTGGGCCACACAAGTCAAAAAGTAAAAAATTAGGCATCAATCAGTCACCAATCGGTTATTAATCAGATAGCTAATTGGTGACCGATTGGTGACTAATTGGCATTTTCGTTAAATATCGTCACCAATTAGGCAGTTTGCTAACTTTTGATTTAATAATCAGAAAAGGATAAAATATAGCTCATTGGAATCGTCTCAATAAGACAAATCTAATGGTAGTAAAATCATATTTCTAGGATTAATAGTTAATAAGAAATTAAATAAAATATAAATGATATATTTTTATTTTTATATTTTACTTAATTTCTCATCAAGTATTAATCGTAGAAATGCAATTTTACTACCATTAGATTCATCTTGTTAAGACGATTCCAATAAACTATATTTCATCCTTTTCTGATCACTGGATCAAAAGTTAGTAAACTGCCTGATTGGTGATAATATTTAATGAAAATGCAAATCAGTCACCAATCAGTCACCAATCATTTACCAATCAGTTACCTAATTGGTGACTGATTAATGCTTGATTTTTCACTTTTCAACCTATGTCAAACTAGACCAAAATTACTGGTCTAGTCTGGTCTAGTTCTGGATTATCTTTTTAATATAAATTGGACTGAACTGAAATGAACTAATTTTTCAGTTTAGTTTTAGGTTACTCCACAACCTGAACCAATCTGGACCATTTAAAATTTTAATTATTATTTAAGAAAAAATGGTTAAAAATTACTACATTTGAAAAAAAAATCTATATAAAATTAATGACAAATTGTTTTTTATGATAAAATTTTATTTTACAAAATTCTTTATTATATAATAAAAAAAATTCACTGTAAAAAACTTTATTATAAAAAGATTCATTTTATATACATATTATTTTATTAAATAATATACAATATTTAATTAGTAAAATTCAGTATAAGGCAATTTTTTAATATATTAAAATTGGGGTAATAGTGAAGATTTATTATATTAAAAAATTTGTTAAATCAAACTTCATTATAAAGTGAATAAATTGTAATTAAATTATTTGTTGCTTTATAGGAAAAATTATAAAAGTATAGTATAATGAATTCCAGAATTACCTTATATAGTAAAAAATAGAGCTATTTAGCTAAAATAGCTCATTTTATATATGATTTATTTATTAAGCAAAAATAATTCTTTAATAGTATACATGTAAAATATTTTTATAATAGTTTATAAATTAATACTATTAAAGTTTTTTAAAATAATTTATATTTGTATAATTATTTATAATAAATTTATAAATATGTTGCAATTAAAAAAAAAATTGTTTATAATCTATATCTATATCTATATCTATATCTATATCTACAGTATATCTATATCTATATCTATATCTATATCTATATCTATATCTATATCTATATCTATATCTATACTATATAATAATTGTTTTTGTGTGTAACTATAACGTTTAGACTACCCTGTATAAATAAATTTGAATTGCGTAACATCGCTCCTATTGGGCACTTTATCACGTGACGTTACACCAACTTCCAAAAAAGGAAATTTTGCTTTCCACAAAAATAGGGAATTTTGGTTTCACAAATACTCCATAAAAGGATATTTCTGCGCTGATCACATAATTCCGGCCAGAATTAATTGTTACATTCATGTCACGCTTTTTTTATATGTATGTATACCGTTGCAAAGCAACGGGTTAACGGCTAGTAGTTATTTAAGTTATTTTAATATTATTTAAAATTTTTATATAAAAATAAATTATTTATCGCTTATGTAATATATCATCACTTTCCTTTTTTATAAATTATTTATGTTTATTTAATAACTTGCTTATATATTACTATTATTTAAAAATAGCAATAATAAATATAAAAATTTGCATTATTAATATGATAAATAAATTATTTTTTTATATAATATTTAAAGTTTTATAAATTAGTAAGTCTTATAATTTATTAGATGTAGATAGTAAAGTAATTTTTCTAAAATTGCTTATTATAAATGTAACATACTTATTAAAAAGATCCATCTAAAATCCTAAAACTTAAAATCCTGAAGGTACATAATCCTGACATTCTAAATCCCAAAATGTCAAAATTCTGAATTGTCTAAATTTCAAATTGTCAAAATCCCAAATTGTCATAATTTCAAATTTTATAATTTTAACACTTTTATAAAATTGATTTCTTTTTTTTATTAATAAATTTCAAGATTTTTCTTTTTAGTATTTTTCTTTTTAGGATATTAGATAATTCAGATTATAGAAATAAATAAAAATAAAAATGCTTATTTATGTTTTATTATTATTTAATAATTTTTAATAAAATTGTTATTTTTTTTTCAAATATATAGATTTTAATAAATATTTTTTTTTAAAAAAAAAAAACTAATTAATTGTAGTTTTTAAAAATGCAATTAAAAATGTTCTTTATTTGAAATTTTAAAAGTTATTTACATGCAAGTAAATATATAAAATAATTCTAAAAAGTTTAATTTACAATCAAATAAATTTTTTTTTATACTTTAAAGATATTTAAAATTTAAAAATAAAAAAAAATTGAATGATTTCATTAGACCAAGCAAATATCTTTAAAAAATCTGGCAATTTACTATATACAATAGTAAATTACAAATTTTGGGAGTACTTTTATAATCAAACAAAGCCATTTAAGATTTTTAAATGAAATGATTCTTAACTGAAATCAAGGATATTTTATTTTTTCAATTTAAGATATTAAGTTTAATATATAATCACCCAAAATGGGAAGCGATTTAAATTATTTAATAGCCTTAAATGATATAATTGCCTGGTTAAAGATAAATAGTGCTAAATAATATGAAATGTTTTTAAAGCAAATTAGCATTCTGAAAAAAAAATGGATGTTCTTTATTACCATATAGAGAAGAATAAAGGTATGGTACAAAGATGTTATTTAAAACTCAGCTTAAGCAAAAATGCAAAACTTGATTATTATTAAATAAATGTTATGATATTATCTTGATACATAATGGTTGTATAATTTTAAAAATCATGTTAAAGACTAAAGAGAAACAAATAAATTAATTATACAAGAACTAAATACATTGATATCCAAAAATTTTTAGCAGAAATAGCAAAAGTTTGTAAGTTAGATAAAATGAGATCTAATGCTAACTATGACAAATTAGGAGAAATAAGTTTATTTACAAGGGCTAACTCCAGAAAATTTATTACAATCTACTTCATCAAGATACCAAGTAGCTTCAGAACCACTCATCTCATAACAGACATCTTTTTCACCGTACATTTCCTTAGAAATCTTATACTCATGTATTTGAACTTCAAACCCCCCATCTGGTGGTGGGCTGTTATAATCAATTAATTGACAAGTGCCGGTGCAATCTTTATGACCAGTGTCATAATACACTTTATGTGAATTGGGGTCAATTATAAACCCCCAACAGTCGATACTACTAATCAAGGTAGAAAATACCTGTATATGATATGCTATGTGTGACCAAATAGATGAAATTGATTAGAACAGGGAAAGATAAGTACTTTGCTATAAATATTCAAGAGCTCTACCTTCAGCTATGTGAGTTGCTAAGAAAAAGATGATGGAGATGGTAAGGTTGAAAAAAAATTTGGAATACTTCATGGTGAGCGTGGCAAAGTGATTTACGAGTTTAAATCAATGAATGTAGCTTTTTGTTCTTTATTTCAATCACATAGGGTATATATAAGTGTTTTTTACATAGTTATCTGAATCTTATGTGAAATATGTGAAACATGTTCGCCATTTAGTTCTTTTTAAAAAGACACTGCTGATCCAGTGACCCTGAGACAATAACCGAAATAAAAAATAAAGTGTAATTCATGACGTTTCAAAAGGGGAAAGCAATCATGTCATTCTAAAACGTAAATAGATTTAGAAATGATCTTAGTTGTAATACAAGTAAAATGGTCTCTATGATATTAATATAAGAATATAAATATCAAATAAAAAAAATCAATTATCAAGATTTGCATTTTTTTTCCTTAATAATAACTAAAAAAAGTATATTTTGTTAGTAATACGAACGATTTCATGTGGATTCTTGTATTCTAGGAGGAACATTGCACTTAATTCGAAACAAGGACACTTGCCTGTGTCAACTGATTTTTTTGACAAAAACTTGTGCAATTGTTGAGGAGGAAAGATTTGGAAATAATGGAGTAAAATAAAAAATTTTTTTACTCTCATATCAACAAATTTATGTATTAACGCACTTAGAACATCTTCTAAGAGACTAGAAGACACATATATCATCTTGCGCATCAGCTACTGCTTTTGCACCTGCTTGTGTTTTTGCTCTGTCATCAATGCCGAGTTTTTCCTGAATTGCTATTATATCCTCCTCCAGACTTAAAAACAACTCATATAATTGAGCAAGTGTCTATTTCATTATTATCAGAAGTAGCCATCATAATTGTTATAATAGAGCATTATATTTAATACAGAAAAAAATATCGACCGGAGCAGTGATCATCAGCTCGGACTATCAAAAGATGACTGAGTACGTGATCATCGATCGGTGTCTCTTTTTTTAATTAGCAAAAATGTCAGATAACGAGATAGATGAAGGCTATAATAAATGTATTAAAGAATATAAATCGAGATTTGAATGGGATAACGAAGAAAATCTTAAATTTACACCGGTTTGCCTAATGTAAAAAATTCATCACCATTGTTTCATGCATTCATAGAATCAGATGTTTTTTATCTGCCACAAATTTTGAGCCAGATTGAATGAATTCTGGGAGAACTTCGGTGGAAAATATGGCCGGATGGTATTGATACGGATGAGATTAAGATAGTTACCTATGGTAACAATGCAGATGTGATAGAAAAGTTTCGATGTTGAACATTGCTTCAAGGCGATGATTCAATAACGAAATATTATTCAAAGCTAGGCATCTCAAAAGAGTATTCATTAGAGGATTGACACCAGAGGGTATTTTGTTTTAAACTTACGATATACCCCTCTCAATGAATTGGTAGAAATATCTATTCAGGAGGACTATATCAGAAACTATATCAATCAGAGTATCAGACAACCTGGTAACGTTATTAATTCGTTTGGATTCTCTTCCGAATTTAGATAGTTCAGTCTAAGTGATCGTCAATCAGCAAATTTCTGCGCAATTTGATCATGCGTCAAGGTCTGTGTGACACATTAATTTTCCCTGTGAGAAAAATGTGAATGTCTACAAAGTAAATACGACGAGGACTTTGCAATTTCGAGATCTTCAGGTGGTGTTATTCAACTTTGTTTTGCAAGGAAGATCTCCATGTGAAAAGGTATGAAAGTTTCATTTGTGCTTTCAAGCCTTCTTGACATCATACGACAATGTTAATAACGCTCCATGTCCCTTTTCCTCCTTCTCTCAACAAGATATAAAGTATGTAGGGGTGCATGGAAGTTCGATCAACTTTCTCGCAAAATTTTAAGGTATATATGCCAGAAATTATGCTTATGCGATTGAAGCAATTTAGTTTACGCTCTCACTATGGCCCTGTATTTAGGAAAATGAAAAATGTCCAATACCAATCCTAACAGGATAAAAAAATTTTCGTGGTCGCACCTTGTAAAGAAGCTATCTACTGTACAAGTAAAACTGAGTATCGTATCTCACTTACTGGAGATGCACTCGATGATCCAACCAAGTTGCGCAAGAATGTAAAAAGATTTTAGAGGTGATAGTGAGTTTAACTGTTGGCGATGAACCATCTTCTAAGAGGCGTCGTGTGCAAGAAAAAATAAAGAATAAATAGGCGGTATAATTCCGCAGACATTAGCATAGAAACCTTAAAGACTTAGTCATGTATCACGGCCCCGCACTTCGCTGTATTAATAAAAAATTTTTCTTGACAAAAGTGATCTGGTTACTGATCAATCGAAGGCACACGTGATTTTATTATTTATTTCGAATATTTAGTGTATAAACAGTTGCCGAACTTAGGAAGAAGTTTGCTGAGATTGAGAGCGAGAATGCTGAGATGAGAATGCAAATTGAGACAAATTATTGAGGAGAATGCCAAATGTGACGCTAGAGTTGAGGAACTAGAGCAAAAAGTACAGAACTTGAAGCCAGACTCGCAACATTGGCTGTTAATGATCCGATTCCGTAGTAGACCATTTCAATAATGAAGTTCAACGGTCAACCGTACGACCAAATAATTGCGTAACAGAATTCATAATTACTCATGATATAATGATATAAATACTTTCATACAAACAATATTAATCATTTCTTCGCACAAATTTTTTACTTTATCCTTTATATTATAATATTGTGTAGTTAAATCGGGTGTCCTTGTTATTAATGGTTATATGATACAATTTTCAGCACCGATTGTGATGCGGTCATTTATCTATCAAAATTATGGGAATGAAACAATTGCTGAAAACAACCCTACTTCATTATATGAATTTATTGTTAAAGTTTTTACGGCGATGTGTTTAGAAAGTAAAGAATTATTGCAAAAATCACTTGGATTTGGGTTTGAAGAGTGAAAAGAAAACATCCTTCTGGAGCAAATGTGGCAAAAGAGTTTTACAGAATTGGAAAACGGCAGCTGAATGGATACTTTATGTCTTGTGATGTGGGTGCAACTTTTGCGTCTAATGGATATGTAAACTTTTACATGGATGAACCATTGAACTGGGCCATTGAAATTTAAGAGAAGGGAGGGATATGGCTAAGCACGCAAAAAGTCTGATTAATCCACAGGAATATATAAAGAAATTACTTTGAACGCTAAGAGTATAGTTTCATTGATATTCATAATGAATCACTTAAAGTTTGAAAATTAAAGGAGACATTTGTTCATGTTTCTTAAAATAGTGTTTGGGATGAACATTAATTTTCAAGATTAGTTTTTAATATAAACTTTTCAATCAGATCATTATTTTTATTTTAGTTAATGTAACCCTTTTTTTTTATTCCAATTTGACAAATAAAATTTTGAATTTATAAATAATAAGTATGATTAATCATAAAAAGGATTTTAAAAAAGAATAATACATTTTTCCAAATATATAAAGTCTGTCAATTTTCAACAAATTGTAATAAATTTTTTTTATTTAAAAGCTAATCAATTGTAGTTTTTAAAAATGCAATTAAGAATGTTCTATATTTGAAATACTAAAGTTATTTATATGCAAGTAGATATATAAAATAATCTCAAAAAAATTGTCATAATTTATGATCTGACAATTTTATTTTATACTCAAAAATATTTTCCGTTTGTTTTAAATTTAAATCTATAATGAATTAGCTTTTAAATAAAATAATATTTGGGTAATTTTGTTGGAAATTTATAAACTTTTGTATATTGTAAAAAATTACAAACATTTTAAGAAATTTATTGTAAGACAGTGTATCTTGCCATGACAAGTAACCATTGGAATAAGAAATTTGGTAGCCAAAAAAATGGACAATCTCCGCCAAATGACTAACTGCCTTATATTTTTACATTAATAGCTTGATTTTATTTAAATATTTAATATATATTACATATGGTTAAATAATATAATAATAACATTATTCTATATTAATATCTTCAACAATAACTTTTCCTTTTTCATTTTCTTGTTCAATCTGTTTCTCCGCTTCATCCTTTTCGTTATCAATTGCACTTTGTTTAGCTTGTTCAACAAAATCAATATCTTTATATTCTCTACTAAATAAGGTTAACACAACTAATAAAAATATAACAATAAGAGTTAATACAGCAATAACTAATCCATAATCAGGTTTTCCATTTTTCGTAAATCTTTCTCCTAATTTTGCTTCAATTTGTGCTGATGATGATGATATTAAATTACCCAATTGATAAGTTAATCCTGGAAATGTACCTCGAAATTCTGATGGTGAAAGTTCATTCAAATGTGCTGGAACTACTCCCCATGCTCCCTAAAAAATTAAAATGATCATTGAGATAATTGACAATTTATACAGTAAATATAAAAAAAAAATAGCAGTTTCATCACCTGAACACCAAAGTATAAAGCAAAAGCTCCAAGAATCAATAATCCAAAATTCCTTGGTAATAAATATAGTGGTACAAAACATGCTGCTAAAATGGCCGAAACAATAATGATAAGTTTACGGCCATATAATTGTGACAAATATCCACAAAGCGAGCCTCCGATTATAGCACCTATATTTGCTACTACCGTAAGAATTGTAACTTGGGCTGGTGTATATCCAAGTTGTGCTTTTAAGAAAGTTGGATATAAATCCTGTGTACCTAGTTTTTTTTAAATATATTATCATTATCTTTTTTTAAAAAAATTTTAAAAAGATTATTATTTATTACTCACCATGACTCAAAAAGTTAAAACAAGCCATTAAAAGAACGCAGTAGACAAATCTTCTCCAATGATGTTTTAATACTAATTTAGTATTAAGTAACCAAGTTTTGCCAGTGGATTCTGAAACATTTTTTTGAGCTTTCCACGCAGGTGATTCAGGTACAAAGAAACGAAGTAATATAACCAATAAAGCGGGAAATGAGCCTATCCAAAACATTGCCCTCCATCCAATATTCTCTATTACAACATAATGTAAGATCGCTGCTAACAGATATCCTACTGCATAACCTTGTTGCAAAATACCAGAAAATAATCCGCGACTTTCGGGGGGTAAAATTTCCATAGCTAATGCTGCGCCTAACCCCCATTCACCTCCCATAGCAATTCCAAAAATTGCTCTTAAAATAATGAAAACTGTGAAATTTGGAGCAAACCCTGAAGCCAATTCCATACTACTATAAAGTATAATATCTATCATTAAAGGATATCTTCTCCCATAACGATCTGCTAACAGACCAAATATTGCTGCGCCCAATGGACGGAAACATAACGTGACCGTAATACTACAATATATAGAAAAAATCAGATAAATGTAGAGATAAAAAACTTTTTTTGTTTATTTATACCTTCCAGTGATTACAGATGGTTCCATTTGAAAATCGTTTGCTATATAAGGTATGGCGAATACCACAATAAAATAATCAAAAGCATCCAATGTCCATCCTAAAAATGCCGCAACAAAAGTAATTCTTTGTTGTCCATTAAGCGATGTTAATAATTTCCATGGATTTTGGGCTTTATTTTTTTCATTATCATCATTTTTTGTGTTTGATTCAGGATCAGTTAAAATATTTTGTGGAGGAGGTTGATTTGTTTCTTCCATAATCGATAGAATTCAAGTTTTTTAGAGAAAGAAATAAATAAAAACTATATAAATATAATATTTAAAAAAAAAGAGAGAGGGGGAGAATTTTTTAAACTTTATATATAAAAAAAAAGTAATAATGCAGATTCATTATAGTCAATATGAACAATATGAAGATTCAATTGGTAAATGATCATCATTGAATGCATTGAATGACAAACGGAAATTTTACGCGTATCTAAATTACAATTGCCAATACAATAAATAAATATGTATATCCCAGAAAAAGATATTTAATATTTTTTTAGCCTTGGGCGTTAAATTTTATTTATTTACAAAAAGAAATTTCTTTTATTTTTAAAAATTCGTGAGAATTAATATTATGCAATAACTGAAACCTTTTTCAAACGGGGAAATTTTTTTACCATCGAAACCGCGTAATATGAATGGTTTAATGGTCCTTCATTTATCCCATTTGTCCTTGGAAATTTTCTTATCATGTGATGATGACCTAGATTTTACGCGATTTTTATCTATCTTGATTATAAGTATTATTAACCTTAAGTAGAATGAACAACCTTTATTTATTCTTGATTTTCAAGGGTTTAAAGTATGATTTTACTATAAATAGAGACTCGAAGTGAATCGAATTGGTAATCATACTTCTAATCTTTCTAATCTTTTAAATCTTTCCCCTTTGAAAAGAAAATACAAGTAAATTTCCGGGACGATCAGACGATCAGAATTACAAGAAATTCTTGTAATACCTTACATAAATAATTCGAATCTTACAAACAAGAATTTAAAAAGTTTTTTTAAAAAATAATATCTGATATTTTAACCAGTTTATAACATTTATTAAATATCTTTTATGGTAACCGCTACTTTTTCATCCTGTTCAGTTTCCTTTTCTTTGCTCTTATCATTAACCGTAATTTGTTCGACGATTTCAACTTGTTCGATGAAATTTGCATCTTTATTTTCTTTTCCCAGTATAGTTAACAGTGCTAACAACGTCATAACAATAAGAGATAACATAACAATAACAAATCCATAATTATATGTTCCATTTTTTTTAAATATTTCTCCTAATTTTGCTTCAACTTGTGCTGATGATGACGCTACTAAAGTACCCAATTGATAAGTTAATCCTGGGAACGTGCCACGAAATTCTGGTGGTGAAAGTTCGTTTAAGTGCGCTGGAACGATTCCCAATGCCCCCTAATATTATAAGGTGGATATTTTAACTACTAAAATATATTTATTGAAAAAAGAAATAGATTAAATACCTGAACACAAAAGTACTCAGCAAAAGCTCCAACAATCAATAATCCAAAATTCTTTGGTAATATATATAATGGCATAAAACATGCTGCTAAAACAACCGAAGTGAAAATAGTTTTCCTACGACCAAATAATTGTGACAAATATCCACAAATAGAGCCTCCAATTATAGCTCCTATATTTGCTACTACTGTAAGAATTGTAACTTGAGCTGTTGTAAATCCAAGTTGTGTTTTTAAGAAAGTTGGATATAAATCCTGTGTACCTAATGAAAAAAAAAAATAAATAAAATAAAAAATAAAAATAAATAAATCCAAAATACGATACCTTAAATTGGTATGAAAATTTTTTATTTACCATGACTCATAAAACTAAAACAAGACATTAATAGAACACAATATATGAACTTTTTCCAATGATGTTTTAACGCTAATTTAGTGCTAGACAGAAAAGTTTTGCCACCTGATTTTCTAGCATTACGATGAGCTTTCCAAACGGGTGATTCGGGTACAAAGAAACGAATTAAAACAACCAAAAGAGCCGGAAATGAACCTATCCAAAACATTGCCCTCCATCCAATATTTTCTATCACAGCATAATATAAAATTGATGCTAAAAGAAATCCTACAGCATAACCTTGTTGTAAAATACCGGAAAATAATCCGCGAGTTTCTGGTGGTAAGACTTCCATCGCCAATGCCGTGCCTAATCCCCATTCACCTCCCATAGCGATTCCAAAAATTGCTCTTAAGATAAAGAAGACCAAAAAATTTGGAGCAAACCCTGAAGCTAATTCCATAACACTATAAAGAATAATATCTGCCATTAAAGGGTATCTTCTACCATAACGATCTGCTAACAGACCAAATATTGCTGCTCCCAATGGACGTAAACACAACGTAATCGTTATACTACAATATAGTAAAGAACCATCAGATAAATTTAGGCATCAAAAATGGTTAAAAAAAAAATCATTACCTTCCAGTAATTACAGATGGTTCCGTTCGAAATTCTTTTGCAATATAAGGTACAGATAATACCACAGTAAAAAAATCAAAAGCATCTAATGTCCATCCTAAAAATGCTGCAGCAAAAGTAAGTCCTTGTTGTTTATTAATCGAAGTTAATAATTTCCACGGATTTTGAGCATTAACTACATTGTTTTTATTTCTTGAATTTGATTCCAGGTCAGCTGTTGCGGTACTTTTTGAAGCATTTTGCGAGGGAGGTTGATTAAGCTCCTCCATAATAAATAATTTAAATTTTGAGAGTACCTTTAGAACTAGATAATTTATTTTTTTAATTCATTTTTTTAAAGAAAGAAAAGTCTAAATTTATATAAAAAAAATAAGAGAAATAATAATAATGAATAATAATGGGAATATTTCCATTAAAAGCGAATTAATCGACATATGATCTGTTAAAAATCGATAAAAAGAAATATGAAGTTTCGATCATAAAAATGATTTTCTTGGGAGACTTAAAAGTTTTACGCGTTGCATGATTATCGAACACAGTACCAGCGCACTATAATGTTAAAAGTTCATTCATTCGGTCTTATCCCTTAAAAAGGGTAAGCAAATTTTAATTTTTCTTGTTCATCTATTTTAAGTTATATTAAATCGGAAATCCCCGTCGATGACCTCATTGAGGTAATCTTTTTATTATTTTAGCTTTGAAGTTCAACTTCTATTCTTAATTTTTCTTGGGGACAGTCTTATTGCAGTCTAGTCTCCAGGACTTAGATCGATCTGAGAATGATAGGCATTGGGAATTGCAGATTAATTAATATGTTTAAAAGCAGTAAAAGGCCAGCTTGTAAATTTTTAATACATAATTTTATAAGTGGTCTTAATCCCGATATGATCATTTCCTGAAAAAATTTGGCCCGAATAAATTTCCGGTATTATCTTTGAATAATTATCAAAAACGAAAAACGATTTTAACATTTTGAGGTTATAAATTCCGTAAATATGTATAATTACGAAATTTAAAATGTGGATTAACTTTTTTTATATAATTAAATGCAAATTATAGATAAATAATTTTGGTCTATCTGGTTCTCGCCTTTTTTTAATAAAAAATGTGTCTAGCTTTGGGAATTTTTGTTCATGGTTAATTCACTAATAACTCCTTTTACCTTTAGGAGTAGTATTAGATGAATTTTGAGACGTAATCGATATATTTACCTTAAGTTGGCCGAAAGATTTAAAGACATTGGGCCAATAGAACCACAAATTCCATATTAAGTTAGTGGGATACCACATGCGATATAATTATATCGCATGTGGTATCCCACTTGGCCTAGATTATAGTATCACATATAATCTGAAATCACATATGATCTAAATATCACATATAATCTGAATATCACATATGATCTAAATATCGCATATAATTTGAATACTATGGTGGCCGTAACAGGGCGGACATACCCTATATCACATGTTGATCATTTGCCGATCATAATAAATGTGTTATTGTGATATCACATTAACTTTGAAGCTTTATCTTAAGCTATAAGCCTATAAATGTTCTAAAAATTATATTTAACTGTCTTGTTTAATAATTAGGTTATTAATAATTAAATATAACAGTATTGTGGCAAAATAAAATGTGGTTCCAAATTTAGCCTTAGGCTGAAATTTTCAATAATTCATATATATGCTAATTCATCTGCTAATTTGACTTTGAAGCTTTAGGCCAAGCCGCTAAGGTTGCTTGTCTAAACCTCTTCAAAATCCTACGATTAGTTTCGTCAAAATTTTACTATAGATTTATTATAGTTTTGGCAGAGTTTTGGCAGTTTTGGCATTTATAATAAGTTTCGGCAGTTTCGCCTTTCTCCAAAGTTTCGCCAGTTTTTTAATATAACTTTAATATAGTTTCAGCAGAATTTCGCTTTTCGGTGAAATGCCATCTTGCCTAAACCCTAGGTTTCGGCAAGCAACCTTACAAGCCGCAGAACTTCAGGCCAAACTTGAAACTTTCATAGTATGCTATTTAGGTATTCAAGAATTAGTGGCTAAAATAAACCTGAATAATTTTTGATAATCCGAAAGTTATCATTAAATAAATGTTTACAATTATTGTAAAATTAATATATGTCTGATATTTGACAAAATCTTTATAAATCATTTTAAGAACTAATTTATTAACAATAAATAAAATAAAGTAAATAAAATTAAAATTTTATACATTATTATGTAGAATTTGTGAAAAAATTAATTCAATGGTATTTTTTTATGTGATAATATTGGACAAGTGATCGGCAAAATGATCAGCAATATCGTGATAATATAGAGATGTCTGCCCTGTTGGTGGCCGTCACCTATAAACTACACTAATATCATGTGACTTCAAATTTTTATAAATTGTAAATTGAATAGTAAAAGAAAAAACTAAACCGACAAAATGATAGAATAACATATACTGAACATTTCTATCAGGTTATTTTATAGAATTTAATAAGAATTTTAATTAATATTATGGGTTAAAGTTAGATAATTTTAATAAGTAGCCATAATAAAAACATAAAATTTCGGACTAGTTTTTATGTAATTTTTATGGATTTTACAAAAATTCCATGGAAATCCACAAGAATTTCATGTAATATAGCAAAAAAAAATTTTGCCGCTCACACAGCAATTATTATATTTTAGCAAAGTACTTTAAAAATAAGTTACATAATATAAATAAATAAAATTTTAAAATTTGGATTATTATTAATATTGTTGTTTATAGGTGACGACCACCATATATATAATCTAAATGATGTGATCTAACTACCATATATAATCTAAATGATATGGTCTAAATACCTTATATACTAATCTAGCATTTTATTATTTCTTATATCACTTTTACATTCTAGTTATGATGTCTTTAAGTCTTTTTTGATATTCGTATTTTTTATGCTAATATACTTTTTATTACCACATTATAATCTAATTATCACACACATATAATCTAAATACCACGTTTTCTTCTTATTTTCAAGTCGTTTACATACTAAATTCTATAATGTGGTTGTTAACCTTCTGTAGTTGTTTAGATACCTGATTTTATGTTGAGGTGCTAACCTCTTACGCCTGATTGGATGCTGGATTATATATTAAAGTACTTACCTTTTGCGTCTATTTGATTGCCTTTTTAGATCCCAAAATGTGGTAAAAAAATATCATGTCAGGTGGTGCAGTAATTCAATATAAATCTGCATCTAAATTTGGTTGGCACTATAGCATAATTTCTGGCCGATCTTTAGGACATGACAACTTGATGGCACTATAATAGTGTCATAGAACTGTTATGGAACTAGAGTAATTCTTTCAGACCACCTATATGCCAGCAGTTTGAATGCTGAATTATTATGTTCAAGGATCTGACTGAATTTATGTGCTGGCCAAAATTGTGGAATAATACTGGCCAATTTTATACTGTGCCTTACTGCGCCAGTCACGTGATCCTGTTACAGTACTGAACACCCTTTCATAGTTACAGGATAGTGACAGGAATGTTCTGGGAATGTTTCTAGAATCCAATATATATGCATATTTTTTGTATCCATATATTTCCAAAATCTTCCTAGCACTCTCGAGTTCCACACATTATTAGCGATAATGAGGCTACCTGTTGTAAATATATTTCCCATATCATTTATGGTATAATATCAATATATAGAGGTGAAATAAAGGTTTATCCTCAATATGAAATCTCAGGAAGTCATAGCAAAGGTCTTATTGATTGGGCTATAAAGATAAGAAATATCATTATCACAATCACCAAGGCAAAAAAAGAGGACATCAATCAAGGAATTGCATAGAATGTGATTCAACTGCAGACATCTATCCAGCGTAACCTAAAAAACATAGCTATGAAACAGCAGATTTACAAGAAAATGTAATGTATGGGATTGTATCAACTGCTGTAGATTGGGTAATAATCAAACTAGTTTCGTCTAACTCTAAGAATAATAGCGAAGGGAAGATAGAAGTAGGGATTGGAATCGATTAATCGAAAATTGACAAAACATAGTAAAATTGATTCTCGAGAATCGATTCTCAGCAATTTTTTACATGTAAGTTAACCTGACTTCAAAGTAATTTTTCATGCCGGCCAAGTGCTGATTATTTTTGCTGAAATTAGAAATTGATTCAAAGTCAGGTTGGTCGTCTATAAGAAAAATCTTGAAAAGATTTGATTTTTGATTCCAATTCCTAGGTGGAAATGTTATTAAGTTTATTGTCACCCTTCTCATTACCAATCAACAAGGCTGTATTGACCTATAATGACTTGGTGGAGCTTATTAAAGACTTGTTTGAGCAAATCAAGTGGGTATTTGATAGTCAGATAGAATCGCAAAAATCATTGAAGCAAGTAAAAACAGAAAATAAATAGTCATATGTATAGACATTAGCATAGAAAAAAAATTGGCATGTATTACGGGTAAAGTCCTGAACATTTGTATTTATTTTCACATGTATTGATAAAAAATTTTCTTGGTAAATTTCTATAATAGGAAGTGAGTTTCTCATCACGCAAATTAAAAAATAGCATATATATATACTAACGGACTTTTGAATATTTTATATCTTTTATAAGAATATTATTGATCATGTCATCTGAACTTGAATTATTGAGACAGCGTATCACTGAAATTAAGACCAAAAATACGAAGTTGAGACAGATTATTGAATAGAATTGCAAACGTGAAGCTGAAAGTGCTAAACACAAGGTTAGAATTGAGAAATTGGAGAAAAATAGTGCAGATATTTCAGCTGAAAATGCTGAGCTTAAAGCTGAATTAGCCAAATTGAGACATAATTTCGATTTCTCTAACCTCACTAGACCTCAACAGTCCCAACATGTTATTAATATGCAGAACTCATGCTCTGTTAGAGAAGAAGATATATCTTTGGTAACAGCTGTATCACAGCCAGATGCTAAGCCTGAGAATCACTTAGCTTCGAATGATATATCTGATCCTGTAATAGACCAGTGTGTTAGTATAATTAAACAGCACATAACTGATAACTCAGACATCAAGTCAATGAACTGAAGAAAAGGAAGACAGATGCTTTCTTAGGTGAAGTGTATAAGAAAAGTGTTAGCAATGATATTAGGCAGAGGAATAGGAAAAAGAAATTATTGCATAAATGAGCTATTTAGGACTCATCTTTTGTAACGAAAGACAAAAAATCTTAATCACATAAGAAGAGAAAAGCGAAGAATATTGTACAAGATGCATTTGATTTTGGTACCTGAGAAAAATCATATGACTGAAATTTCCATGATGGAAAATTCACTTCCCATTACTAAAAATACCAATGAGAAAAATTCTGTAGTTATACTATCTGTAGTGAAAAGCAAATCATTACTAAATTTAGCCTATTTATATTAGGAAGCTTGCGATGCAGAAAAGCAAAGAATTAAAGTCAATTAAGATGAAATTTTATATTAGTATCATTATGTTATAGAATTCGATAATCAAATAAAAAATGTTATGAAAACTAATCGAATTGGTAAGAAAAAAGTGAAAGGATAAATCTATGATTTTATTATTGCACAACTCAGTACTAAACATAATATATTATTAAAACAAATTCAAAGATAAGATTGCCTGTCAAAACTCATTTGACTCAATGCCAAAAGTCAAAACTCCTTATATAGTATCGAAACTGCTGAAACGCTAAAACTGTCAAAACTGCCAAAACTGCCAAAACTATTTCGGCATTTTGGCATAGTTTTGGTATAACTAATACTAATATTTTATTAGAGTTTCGGCATAGTTTCAGCATATATAGTATTAACTTTCTATAAAAAATAAAAGAAAGAAACAGTACATATCCACCCAATTTAAATTATTTACTTGTTACTAAGCTAAAGGTTTTTATTAATTTGTTTTAAGTTACTACTAACATGACAAAAAAAAAACAAAATTAAAAAAATTATTTCGTTTATATTATAATTTAATATATTAGTTTATTGCAATTTTTTATTTATATTAAAACAGATTAATTAAAAAAGTATATTATTTAGTCTGAAACTTTGTTTTCAGTTCAGCGTGATGATAAAAAAATAATGAATATTAGTAAAACATTCTGAAGCACCTCTTCACCATCTCTTATCTCCCACTACCACATATAATACCCACCCAATTCCAAGATTCTAGTTTGAAAATCTAAGTAAAAAGAATTTAAACCAAAAAAAAACTTCCAGTCACTTTAATTCTAAGGCTCCAGTTTGGAATCTACAAAAAAGAAAAAAAAAAACATTATTAAACGTTTTTATATCAAGAATATCATTCTCTCACTTTGAATTGCTATTCCTTTAAGTTCAGGAAATACGTCAAAAAGTCCATTTTTACAAAAAGAAAAAGAAAAGAGCATTATTAAACGTTCTTATATTAAGAATACCTCCCCTTCGAAATACTATACCTCTAAGTCCAGAAAATATGCTGAAAAAACGTTCCTAAGAGAAAAAAGAAAGAACGTTATTAAATGTTTTAATATTAATATATTAAAAAAACCTCCCTTCTAACTAAGTCAGTAATGCCAAGCAACTAAAACCTAAAAAGTAAAAAAAATAAAATTAAGTTAATAAAAGAAAAATACATAAAATAAGAATAAAAGAAAAAAAATAGACTTACCGTTATCATCCAAGAATTAGAAAAAAAAATACTGTACTTATTTGTCAATTCACAAGACTAAAGGTATTGAAAAAAATATTTTTTTATAAAAAAAAGAGATTATTAGCTGATTAGATCAGTAAAATTGGATCGGCTACTGCAGGTTGGATAATATTACATCAGAAATGCTGAAACTATATGTATATCATATGATATATTGCACCGAAATGCTGAAACAGTTTTAGCAGTTTCAGCAGTTTTGGCATTTCAGCGTTTTTAATTGCTTGCCAAAACCTAGTTTTGGCAGTTTCAGCATGCCGAAACTTCCTAGTTTTGGCAACCTTACTCAGAGAACAAGAAGCATATACAAATTATTTGAGAAAATAGGGATTGATAAAATCAGGTATATTACAACATATAGTGCAAATTCTATTGCAGAATTATTCGATAGTTAAATTCAAACTATTATTGATTATTTCTCTGAAAATCTCAACACTGAATTACCCGATGATCAAGAAGGCTTTATTATTGATTTTGAAGAGGAGATTTCAGATGACCAAAATAATGCATCAGAGGTAGGACCCCGCTTACTTATAAGATAGGTCACCTCCAGGTCTAAGGTAAAAATGATATATAAAATTATTTGCAGATCCTACTATAAAAGGAAATTTTATATTACATTGTTATGATTTTTTCCTTTTTAGCTAATTAACCAATAGAATTTAAGAAAAAAGTAAGGTAAAAACTATTAGTAAAGGGCCAATTTTCTACAGTGACTTTTATTATAAGTAAGTGAAGTCCTATCAGAACTTCAGAGGTACAAGTGAATCTCTTGGATTTAGCTAAGGTAAGCACATTTATTTTATTAACCCATGTCTCTAATTCTTCAGGTGAATCCCAAATCGAAATATGGCATGATGAAGGGGATTATTATAAAGATGATGATAACATGTATGATGAAGAATATTATTATCATGATAGGAGATAGATACAAAAGAAAAGTCTCACCAATGATAAGTCCAATCATTTCTTTAGTATATGCTTAGGGAATTAATTCAGAAACGGATAATATGATCTAGTCATGTAAGATCAATCACCAGAAAAGATATCAGGCTGAAGAATAGGAATGCATATATTCTCTAACAAAAATTCTTTTTATCGAAGCCACTCAAATATAAATACAAACATGCTCGCCTTCTCGAAGTCAGAATTTTTTTAGTAAAAATTGTTTTTACAAATGATCGAAGATCTTGATATTTTTATCATTTTTTTCTAAGCAATGTGAGGAAAAAAGGTGGGTTATGAATGAAGGGCTGTGGGTAAAATAAAATTGAATAGACTTTAATAATATGAACTACAGGTAAAGTCTCGAGCTTTGTATTTATTTTATCTCTATATTAATAAAGTGAGTTTTTTTACATTTGTCAATAACATGAATAATTTCTGTTGCATATAAAATATTATCAATTATGACATTCAAGCTTGAGAGTAGAATTGAGGAGTTAGAGAAGGGTAGGAGAGATACTGATGCTGAAAATATTAAGCGTGATATTGAGATTTATGAGCTTAAAGCTAAAATAGCAAAATTAAGGTATAATATTAATGAACTTAAAAAAGAATCAGAATCTAAGAAAATTGCAAATTTCAGACTAGATGTATCCAAATAGCTAAGGAAATTCTTAATGAGAAACCTATTATTGAATATCATCCTTCTTTCTTAGATGGATTAGAGCTTGATGCCTTCTTCCAAAAATATTGAATTGCATTGGAGATGCAAGGGGCTCAGCATTGGCTTTATAGTACTAGATGGTATAAGGATGTTAAAAAACTCAAAAACATCACTAATTATGATCGGCAAAAATGATGTATATGTCAAGATAATGGAATTTTCCTTCTTGAAGTATGGTATGATGAAAAACTGGAAATCGTTATTCCTAAAAGGATACAAAAAATTAAGGAGTTTGTTGATCAAACATCCAAAAGGTTTGATCTCCTATAATCAAACTCCATTTAAATTAAATTGATATTTGTGCAACCTAGCTGGTCATGTAAGATCAATAGGGCTGTGTAATTTTTTTTTTCACCAATTTCATAAAAAAATTAGTGTACATTACTCATTACTTATATAAACTAAAGCTATATATAAGAAAAACTTGTAAATATGTCAGAATCTCAAATTCCTCAGTCTTTATTTCCTCAGTTTACGAAACAACAATTAGCAAGAGCAAGTAAAAGTATTAAGTCTTCCGTAAATTGGACAGAATACAACAAATGGGTTAAGGCTGGAAAACCATTCGTAGAACATGATGAATTAATGTTTATAGATCAGAAACGCAAAAATGGATCTTACAGAAAACCAACTGGTAAATTTATTGATTTGTATTTATTCTACTACTTCATTTTCATGTACAGTAAAGTCAAACTTATAAAATTTTTTTAAGAAATTGAACTATATAACGTTGAAAGAAAAGAAAAACAAGAAACTGGAAATAGTTTTCAAAAGAGTGCCAGAAAGAAAATTGGAAATGCCGGGAAAAAAAGCAATAAAAACTCTTTCATAGAAAGAACCCAAACCACCACTTGTGAAAACAGTGAATATCATAGTGAAGCATCTAAATCCAATCAAATTTCTGACACTATTAAACTATACAAATCAAATGCTTCAAAACCTGCAGAGAGACAAGATTTTTGATGATGTTATTAGTATTAATAGAAAGGAAAAAGTTAGAGCATTCGATCATGGAAAAATGAAAGTAGTTGGGAAAAAAATTAGATCTTATAATGTTATACCTAAAGAATCGTATATATACATATTAATATTATCAGATTATTATTTTTTAATGTTACGATATTTAGGAGGAAAGTAGTTTAGAGCTTTGGCCTATCTCTCTGATCATGAATTTTATTTGAAATTTCTCAACATATTCTTTACAAATAAGACAAAATTATAACTGATATTTATTATATTGTATAAATTGCAATATGTATTTTTTTTTATAAATAATAAATCAAAGACATGTTTTTACATAGCTTATATGTTTTCGTGTGATGTAGTAAGTGTCAGATTGTGAAAAGCGTATATTCTATTATTTCTAAATCATTGACAGAACTTGAAATATGCCACTACAAAACATATACAGTAAAAAGGCGAGATTCTGGTTAATGATCCTTTTATCTGCTTTGTGCAAAATTTAGCAAAATTAATAAATCTAAGCAATATTATCTCTATATCGCAAGCTTTCAATAGAATGAAAATGCCTAATGCTATAAGTTAGCCCTAATGACTTATCAAAAATTTGGCCTCATGAAAAATTTATAGGGATAGCAAAAAAACTTAACAAGGATGTTAAAAGTATCTTCTTTAACGATTTTAGAACTCTGGGAAGGCAATTTTACTACTTATTTCTATATCCTTATGAGTCCCTATAAATTTCCAAATTCTTTACCTTTTTTATTTTTTTTATTTTATTTTATTTTTTTTTTGCAAGGTAGTGCAATTTGTGAGTTTATTAATTATATAAATATAGAAAGTTCTGTTACATGTATAATTAATTAGTTTAAAACTCCAAACCGATTCCCCATCCATAAGATTACTCCTATGCCCTATCATTACCTTATAAAATTCACCTATATCCTCCCATAGTAGCTATCAGATTATATAGGATCATCATAATTACATGGTTTTAGTAAATGCTTTCACTACTCTCTAAACAAAAGGAAGTATTATATTTATATTTATACAATTTGATATTATTATATACCTTTCAAATTACCCTATTTCTTTCTTTGACAAATTAATTTATATATTGTCTTGTTTTTTTTCAAAGCAACTGATCACTGTTCATTATGCTTAAGAATTTTTCTTCCTTTCAGGTCATATACATTACCTTTTATTTGCTGGGTTAGAATTCTCTCATATACAATACGTTGTTGTACTGATATTTTTTTCCTTAAATCTTGTTTTTTGATTCTTTTTGTATGTTTTTATTCTGCAACTAGGTTGCAACGTCAGTGGTTGCTAAATGACCTTGTAAAATTCATTAATAAATATTTCTAAAAAAGAAGAAGTAATTGTTAGTGTAGCTTTTTTTGACTTAACAATAGACCTGAGTTCTCTGTATTTTCCTTTTGGAAAAAAAATTTTTTAACATTAAATGTACAAATGGAATAGGCAACTTTTGATTAAAACCTGTAATCTGAACAAAGAAATTTCTATTCTATAAATATAATTGTTGTGTGTCCTCTTGGTTTAGTTGAAGATATTTTTTTGAGAGAAAGTCTTTCAGCATCTGTTCATATTTGTATGTGGTATTGTTGGCCACTATTAACCATTTATCTCTGAGTTGCTGACAATAAATTACATGGTCCTCATCTTCATTTTCTACAAGACATAGCCTGCACTTTACATTTCTGTATAGATCATATATCCTTTCTTTCATAATTTCCAAAGTTGGTAGTATATTATTTATAAGTTTCAAATGTTTAATAAAATTGTTATTTACTGATGTTGTTATGCAGTTGAATCCTATGTTTTTTTTAAATAATGCCCAAGTTACTTTCTCTTCAATTATGTGTGTTGAATCTTGGAAAACTGTTCTGTGTGTGCGATTGAGAGTAAGGTTGCTTGCCGAAACCTAGGGGTTTAGGCAAGATGGCGTTTCGCCGAAAAGCGAAATTCTGCCGAAACTATATTAAAGCTATATTAAAAAACTGGCGAAACTTTGGAGAAAGGCGAAACTGCCGAAACTTATTATAAATGCCGAAACTGCCGAAACTCTGCCGAAACTATAATAAATCTATAGTAAAATTTTGATGAAACTAATCGTAGGATTTTGAAGAGGTTTAGACAAGCAACCTTAATTGAGAGACCAAGATGCTTCTATTGCAGACTTACATAAATTATCTATAAATTTTCTGATATATTTGTCTACTCTTTTACCATCCCAATATAAATCAAATTTTAAGTCCTTTTGTTGTGAATCATTAATTGTGATGTAAGTTAATTTTCCTGTGTCATTCTTAGCCACTCTGTCTGCTTCTTGCCTTCTTCATTGCCTATGACTCCTGAGTGGCCTTTAACTTTTATTAGCTTTACTTCTAAATGTTTGTTATCAATAAGATTGATTATATTACTAATTATACTATAATTATTGCTTTTACACCATATTTGTATTTTATCTTTTCCATTTATTAATTTTAATCTTATGTGATTAATGCTATCTATCGTGGCCTGGGAATCTATAAAAATATTTGCTCTCTGGCCTATTTGTAAAACTAGTATGGCTGATAGAATAGCTCCCAATTCTGCACATGTGGATGATGGCCATTCTGTAATTGAACTGCTGTATTCTTGTATTACCTCATTTTTTTCATTCATTATTATCCAACCTGTGTCTATGTGTTTTGTGAAGGTGTTTAATTTTGTATTAAAGTAGTTCGTTAATGAGTCATCTGTATATATATCAATCATGTTAGATGTATTGAATATCGATCTCAAGTGATGCAGTATTGCTATATGTTGTATCATAGCTTCCTCATTTGATAATGTGTTTCTGATGAGGGCTGTATCATAATCATATGTCTGTATAAGTACGGGTATTTGTTCTAAGATATAAGATATGTTATTTCCCTAAGTGATTTCTTATCTCTATAATATCTTTAATATTTTTTTTATCCAGGCTATTTTGGCAATTAAAAATCCTGTTTATACAAGTTAAGTCTGAATAGTCCTTGTTGAAGTGGCAATTATAGTTTTCTTTATTGACCTTTCTATCGTTTAATCTGCAGCCGCTGCAATATTGTATGATTTTATGTATACCGCTATCCTCACTCTGGTTATTACTATTCATAATCCAATGTTGTATTGTACACTTTTCTGTCTTGTTCTTTCTAATAATTTGTCTCAATACTAATATACAGTCCTGGTATGTATACACAAACTCCTTTTTCTGCTATTTGTAGACGGCATTTTCTTTGTCATCTTAAATGCTTGCATGTTAATTAGGGCTTCTCTGTCAATTTCTGTTTTAGTACTTTCCGAATTTGAGGACTCTATGTTTTTAATTTTTTTTTTATATCATATATCAATCATATATCAATTATATTAACTATATATATGACAGCATAGCGAACATCCCGATTTTATCACAATTTTGCCGATCATCTGTAGATCATTTGTCGATCATTTAATCAATTTTATCACTTCGCAATAATTAAGTTAATTAACTTAAATTGGAAAATTCTACATAATAATATATGCTCAAAATTTCCAAACAACTTATTATTGATTTGAATTTACTGTGTATCAAATTTTATTTGGATCACATTATTATTGGATAACTTTTATTAGTAGAAACTTTAACTTTTAATAAAATGCTGTCATATTAAGCTAATAAACTTTAATTAAACAATTCTGCATAATAATATGGCTCAAATGTCAGTTACAAAATACTTAATATTGATCTAACTTTACTGATTTATGAAACCTCATCATCATTGAATAAGATTTATTAGTAGCAACTTTTTAAATTTTAATAAAAATGTATTTTTATTATAAATTAAATAATATTACATATAAAAATCAAAATATATTCTAAGTTAAATAAATTATAAGCTATCATAATTTGACCATTCTTGATATAAAATTTCAAATTGATTATCTATATTTTGCTCTAATCTTTCTAAAATACTTTGTATATTTTCATCATTATTTTCATTTGAATTGTTATTTATTTTCTCTTCAACTAAAGGTATTTCATTATTTTTTAGTGGAGTAGTTAATCTTGCTGTTAAGGTATTAATATTTTTTTGAGCTTCAAATGATAAATAATTAAAACAATGATTACATTTATCATTATATAAAGTTAAACATTCTTTATGAAAACCATGCCCACAAATTAAAACAATACCATTAGATGAATCTATATTATTAGGTAATAAACATTTTTCTGCATCACAAAAATTATCATTAGCAGGTTTATATGCTGTATTTCATGCTAATGGAAGAACTTTTATATCTACATTAATTTCAAAGCTTGGAAGCATAAAACTTGGATATTTACTATTATTAATTTTGGTTGTATTTCCAATATTATGATAAATTTTATCAAAAAGAGAAAACAAAAATAAAGAAACTTTTCTTTCTAAATAATTTAATTTATCTTGAGAAATAGTTGGATTTCTTGAATTAATAAAAGATTCTTTAAATGAATTATTATTTCTTTCAGCATCAATAATTTTTGCTTTTTGAATAATTTGCAGTGCATTATTTGATTCAGCAGTTTGACTTTTAATAGAACTGTGTAAATTTTCAACAAAATAATCATTAAAAATAGGTAAATTTTTTTTCAAAACATTTGCCATTGGATGATTATTAAGCTCCCAATAAAACACATCACTTAAAAATACAAGTGGTGCTTTATTATAATTATGTCTCCTTAATCTTTGAAATAATACCCAAACTCTTACAACACTTTCTAAATATCCCTCAAAGTATCCACTTCTAAAAAGTACTGCATATATATCTAAAGTAAGTGGTATAGAATTATCTAACAAATCAATCATCATTCTATATTCTGCATCTTTAGAATTTTTAAAACGATTCATAATGACTTTTCTAATCTTTTTCCAACCATTAAATGTTAAATCTAAAATAAGATTAATTACAGTTTGTTTTGGCTTTTTAGACAATACTTTTTTATCTCCAAATAAATCATGATACAACATTTCAAAAAAAAAATGGTAAGTTTGAAACAAGGTTTCTCTACTATTTAAAGAAATATGAAGTGGTCCAATCATAGGAATTAAACTTAATATTTGTTTTGAAATTCCAGATATAATTCCTCTATTAATTCTTAATGTTATAGCTCTTCTTATATTTACTTGTCCTGGCCAATCAGCAATTATAGGAATAATGTAATGATCTAAATAATCAGTATTTTTTAACCTTTTAAATACTTTAAATAAAAGATTTGAACATTCAATATAATCTTTAGTACTATGTAATAGGTGCAAAATAAAATCTACTAATTTGCTATTATTTAATGATCTTAATTCCTGATGTTTTTGAATGCGACCATCATAATTATGAACATTAAGATTTTCAATTCTATTTTCATAAGAATCTTCAATTAACAAATTTTTCCATAATTCATTTTGCTCATAATAACTTTTGCCTATTTGGTTCATAAAATAATTCTCAAACTTTTTAATAATTAATTTAGAGTCAATTCCTTTAGGATTATGTATTAAAATATTATTTGAAAAACATGGTATGCTTGGAATATTAGGATTAGAATTTAATAATATTGTAACAAAATGAAAGATATTATGTGTTTCCAATAATGATGGCATAGTACGTCGATGAATATTATGGTAATCATCAATATTCAAAACAAACATTTTTTCTATATTTTGTAAACAATAATTATCAACAGATTGTTTATGTTCATCTGAAACAATTTTTTTTTGTTGATTTACTGTCATTCTTGATACTGATAATCCAAGATTTGCAAGTGTATCAATAGAAGTAGCTGATGCTCCAGAAGTTTGTAAATATGATCCAATATCAGCCTTAATTCCATTAATGTATTTATTATTAATACTAGCTAAAAAATAGCATAAAGAAACTAATTTTTTCTTATTACTATTATTTGTTTATCAGATTTAGTTTTAGGATTAGTTCCTTGATATAATTCATCAAAAAAACCAATTAAATCTGCATCTTCTGTTTCTAACATATTATTAAATTTATCAGGATCATAAATTGTTTTTTGTTCTAATATTCTTTGATTTTTATAAAGAATATTAAACATTTTTTTAATTTTGTTACTTAAACTAATTTCATCTGTAATTGTTAATTGTGATATAATTTCTTGATAATCTGATTCAAATTGTTTTAGTTCTTCACCATTATATAAAATATCTTTTCTAAATGAATAAGTATGATTTCCCATTGTTAAAATATTATCATCATCCTTTTTTTTGGAAATTGGTGCAGTATATTCTTCTAACATATTATAATCAGGATCATTATCTGTTTTTTTTCTGCACAAACTACAAATTTTAGCAGTTTCATCTAAATTTAAAATTGGTATTAATCTTTTTGGTATCTTTTCAAGATTAAGGTTTTTTGATCTCTTATTTGCATTTTTTGATTGGCTTTTATATTCATCATGCTTTTGATGAGAGCAAGTTTCATTATTTTTTAGGCTATAAGCCTCATTAATAATAAATTTATTATAGTGAGTTTGATATAATTTCATTCCAACTAAAATAGTTTTTTTTTTTGTTATTTGAATTTTTGTATTATTATTTATTGTCCTAATTACTCCTTTGCAATCAGTTGAGTTAAAACTGCAGGACATTTTTTTTGAATAAAATTTCAGAAATTTAAAGTTAAAAAAGTTTTATTTTGTATTAAGTTAAAAAAAATAATATTTTTTATATTAAATTGAATAATAATATTTTATATTGAAAATGATGTTAATTTTATAAATATTTCTTGTGAATTTTTTAAAGGACTATTTATAAAAAAGTGAACCATATAAATTTTAATCATTTTACTTTATTTATTTATTTTATATTGTTAATAATGAATTAATTCTTAAAATAGTTCATAAGATGTGCCAAAAATTAACTTTATTAACCTTATAACAATTGCAAGTCTTTATTTAATAATAACTTCTTGGTTATTAAAAATTATTCTTAGTTATTTAAGCCATTAATTCTTGAATACCTAATTAATATATTGTAAAAGTTTCAAATTTCGCCCGAACATCTGTGGCTTCGCCCGAAGCTCCAAAGTCCGATTAGAAAATGATCAGCATATATATCAAATATTGAAAATTTTGGCCTAAAGCTAATTTTGGCGCCACATTTTATTTTGCTACAAAATTTTTATACTAAATTATTAATATATTATACTATTAAAAAAACAATTTAAAATTATTTTTTAGAATATTTATGGCCTGGAATAAAGTCTCAAAATTAGTGTGATATCACATATAATATGATCGGTAAATGATCGGCAAGGTGATATAAGCATGTTCGCTATGCTATATATGACTATATTTGCCCGATATACCATAGAAAAATTTTGATTTTTTTCTAGAACTTTTATATTTTATAGGAACTCATAGGAACATAAGGTCAAATAATAAAGAATTTAATAAATCAAGCTAAGAAGCCTAAAAATGATATCAAGATTATTCCTATAAGCATCCTCATAAATTTTTCTTATAGAGATAGAGAATTTTTATAAGGACGCTTAAAAAAATAGCATACTCATTGCCTCAACCTAGATTAAACTATAATTGAGCTTCAAAAGTGCTTATAACATCCCGCTAATATATCAGCAATGAATAGGCAATAGTTGGGTTGCGAAATAGTGCACTTCTGATAATCATATGGATCAGGCCAAGATAATACATATTGCACCTCCAATTCTCTAACCAACTGACCACCAGACTGGAGCTTGAGAGTGTTAGGAAGATTTTGGAAATATATAAATACAAAAAATATATAGCACAAATGCATATATATTGGATTTTAGAAATATTCCAGAACATTCTTGTCACTATTCTGTAACTATGAAAGGGTGTTCAGTACTGTTATTACTGTAACAGGATCATGTGACTGGCACAGTAAGGTGCAGTATAAAATTGGCCAGTATTATTCCACAATTTCGGCCAGCACATAAATTTGGCCAGATCCTTGAATATAATAACTCAGCATCCAAGCTGGCATATAGGTGGTTTGAAAGAACACTCTAGTTCTATAACAGTTCCATGACACTATCATAGTGCCATCGAGTTGTCATGTCCTAAAGATCAGCCAGAAATTATGCTATAGTGCCAACCAAATTTAGACGCAGATTTACATTAAATTATTGCGCTACCTAACATGATATTTTTTTACCACATTTTGGAATCTAGAAAGGCAACCAAATAGGTGTAAATAAAAGGTAAGCATTTCAATATATAATCTAGCACCCAATCAGGCGCAGGAAGTCAACACCTCAACATAAAATCAGGTATCTAAATAATTACAGAAGGTCAACAATAAGGTTGCTTGTCTAAACCTCTTCAAAATCCTACGATTAGTTTCATCAAAATTTTACCATAGATTTATTATAGTTTCGGCAGAGTTTCAGCAGTTTCGGCATTTATAATAGTTTCAGCAGTTTCGCCTTTCTTCAAAGTTTCGCCAGTTTTTTAATATAACTTTAATATAGTTTCGGCAGAATTTCACTTTTCGGTAAAACTCCATCTTGCTTAAACTCCTAGGTTTCGGCAAGCAACCTTAGTCAACAATTCCATTATAGAATTTAGTATATAAATGACTCAGAAATAAGAAGAAAAACGTGGTATTTAGATTATATGTGTGTAGTAATTAGATTATAATGTGGTAATAAAAAGTATATTAGCATAAAAAATACAAATATTAAGAAAGACTTAAAGACATAACTAGAATGTAAAAGTGATATACTAAGAAATAATAAAATGCTAGATTATATGAGGTATTTAGACCATATTATTTAGATTATATGTGGTAGTTAGACTACATCATTTAGATCATATGTAGTATTCAGATTATATGCGATATTTAGATCATATGTGATATTCAGATTATATGTGATATTTAGATCATATGTGTAAGGTTGCTTGCCAAAACCTAGGGGTTTAGGCAAGATGGCGTTTCGCCGAAAAGCGAAATTCTGCCGAAACTATATTAAAGTTATATTAAAAAACTGGCGAAACTTTGGAGAAAGGCGAAACTGCTGAAACTTATTATAAATGCCGAAACTGCTGAAACTCTGCCGAAACTATAATAAATCTATAGTAAAATTTTGACGAAACTAATCGTAGGATTTTGAGGAGGTTTAGACAAGCAACCTTACATATGTGATATTCAGATTATATGAACAGGGCAGACATCCCTATATTATTATGATATTACTGATTATTTTGCCGATCACTTGTCCAATATTATCACATAAAAAAATACCATTGAATTAATTTTTTCACAAATTCTACATAATAATGTATAAAATTTCAATTTTATTTACTTTATTTTATTTATTGTTAATAAATTAGTTCTTAAAATGATTCATAAAGATTTTGTCAAATATCAGACATATATTAATTTTACAATAATTGTAAACATTTATTTAAGTATAACTTTCGGGTTATCAAAAATTATTCAGGTTTATTTTAGCCACTAATTCTTAAATACCTAAATAGCATACTGTGAAAGTTTCAAGTTTGGCCTGAAGTTCTGTGGCTTGGCCTGAAGCTTCAAAGTCAAATTAGCAGATGATCAGCATATATATGAATTATTGAAAATTTCAGCCTAAAGCTAAATTTGGAACCACATTTTATTTTGCCACAATACTTTTATATTTAATTATTAATAACCTAATTATTAAACAAAACAGTTAAATATAATTTTTAGAACATTTATAGCTTGAGATAAGGCTTCAAAGTTAATGTGATATCACATTTATTATGATTGGCAAATGATCAACATGTGATATAGGGTATGTCCACCCTGTTTGATTATATGTGGTATTTAGATTATATGTGATATTCAGATTATATGTGATACTATAATCTAGGCCAAGTGGGATACCACATGCGATATAATTTATATCGCATGTGGTATCTCACTAGTTTGTTTGAGAAATGATCCATAATAATAACTTTGATATTTCGTTTGTCTGATATATAGTAATTGATTTTAATACAATGATTTCAGTCACATGATATGTGGATAGCACTAACAAAGTTTGAGATATCTCTTGTACAAAATCTTATCATTTAAAAATATCTTTTTTATCTTTTTACGTATTATTTAAAGATGCACATACCGATTGATCCTGCAATGGGAAAAAATTGATTAGAAAAAATTGATTATTATATACTTTATATATACATACTACTGTACACGCACTTTAATAACATGATTTATTTGACACATCATATGAAATTAAGAATGTGTACGAGGGCAAATCTGTTGATATAAAAAATATAAAATAAAATAAACCATTCAGCTTATAGTTAAATAATGTTTCACCGAGTTTATCATCGATGTTAATTTATGAGACTAGAACTCGGTATAAGGTAACATTAACCTTTAGTAATATTTATGTTATTTGCCTTATATAGAAAAAATAGATTAATTTGTTCAGAATATTTGTCCCAGGACTCATAACACAAAATCAGAAGATATGAAAAAAAAATAAAAAGAGGGATTATTCTGTCACATAATTTATATTTGCTGGATTGAGTGTGTAAACCTCAATTTCCTCTTAATAATATTATCATGCTAAGAAGACTATTTAGAAAATAGGTAAAGATTGTATGTAAAGATATTATTAAAGAGGGTACTGATCAAAGTTTTATTATGGTAATTCTCTAGGTTGGCAGAGATTGAGTCGTAAAAATAACCAATCGTATTTTATTTAATAAAATCGACTAACTTACCATTATGTCAAAATTCGAACTGCTAACAAAAATACATTTGATAACTTCGATTTTGCAAAGAAATCTCATAAAATGCTTGAGTCATTGACGTAAATGCAACGTGTGATAACGATTTTTCCTAACATAAACACTTTTATTAGTATCATATTTTCTAATCTTAAATCCCAAGAATACTAATCGAGTTTTATCACTTCTTTGATAAAATAGGGTTGATTATTAATTATTAATCCTACTTTTTTTATTATCTGTTACGACAAGAATGAGAGTTTTCGATTTATTTTAAGTATAAAGAAGTTTTTCAATTAATCTTTGATTAAAATGAAATGGGGTATTTTCTAAGATCTAGGGTATACGTCACGTGTCACTAGGAGAACATTAACGGGAGTATAAGTTATTTAACTATTCAATATGTAATAAAATAATGATCATTACGTTATGCATCTGGTGCATCTCCGACGTGACCAAAATCTTAATAGCGCCAGCTTGTTTTTTTGTCCGTTTCTTAAAAATAGAACTAAACTCATCTGTTCCGACAAGTGACCGTAGAATCCATTTTTTAGTTTCTTCAAACAACCGAAAAGAATATTCGAGAATAATTATAATTATTTTGATCATCAAATGAATATTATGCATGTACAGATGAATTTATTATGAACTATTTGCTTCTACAAAAAAAATGAATAACAAAGAAATTCCATCTACCAAAATTGAACCTATAATAAAACCAAAATGTAATCTTTTTGAATTGGTACAATATCAATGTATTATTAAGGATGATCGAGTTATTTGTTCACCATTTGTTAGGATTTTTAAGAGGTATTAATTTTAAAAATTTTTAAATTTTTACATTTCTAAATATGATTTTCAATATATTGTATAAGGTGTGCCGGTAAACCAACTGTTGAAATAACGCCTTATTACAATGATGAAGGATCTCCTATTGAGCCAAAGTAAGGCATATCATTGTTTCTATAATGACTATTTATTAACACAATTTATATTACATACCAAATTTAAAATCATAATTTTCGATTAGGATTTTCATCTAATAAATTTTATGTTTTTCATGACAAAGTATTAAAGAAATTGATCATGCTCTAGATGTTGATATTTATCTAAAAAAAAAAATGATTTTCTAATAGACAATACTACAAACTATTTAATTATGTATCTTAAACGAGTTTAAGTTGAGCAAGAATACCTTAAAGTTAATAGAGAAAAAGAATATTAGTGTTATCAAGACATTCATAAATAAAATTAGAAATTATCCCAAAATAATAATTACATTGTAACAAGCCGCTAATAGCAAGAACAACAATAATTATAAGGTTAACAAAATTCCCATATTTTTGCATACAAAATTTCTTTGCGTGGTGAAAAGTATTAAACCAAGAATAAATCTGTAAATTCGTCACAATTACTCTTTTTTAACAAACTAAATCTGAAACTTTAATTAAATGAAAAATGTACATATTTAATAATAATAATCCAACCGTTATTCCCTGAAAAATAAAATAAAAATTAAATTAATAGAAATGAAGGATTTATAGAATTATTAAATAAATAGACCTACAATTCTATTGTAGCCGGAGGCTTACTGGATATATCGTACACGACTCTATTTACGCCTATTTAAAAGGATTTATTGTTACGAAAGAACCCAATTAATAGATCTAATAAACACTAATTAACTTACCTTTAACTTCGTTAATAATTCGATTGCTAATTTTCTTCAATACATCATAAGGAAATGAATACCTATGCAGCGCGAAAAGAAAATATCTTAAACCTAACAAAATCAAGATAAATCTCTGACGAAAAGTACATAAATTTACCAATCTGCCGTCATAAAATCTACAGTTTCAACAGCTCTTAAAGTAATAACTTGTTCATAAGTTCTTTTATCACCCATAACGCCAACAGCTTTAACGGGTAATAAAGCAGCATAAGCTTGAGATATTTTACGATAAAGTCCTGCTTTCTTTATTTCATCAATGTAAATATGATCAGCTGCTCGGACTATTGCAACTTGACTAGGTGTAACTTCACCTAATATACGAATTGCAATACCGGGTCCAGGGAACGGATGACGCCAAATTAATTCATCATCTAATTTCAATGTTTTACCAAGTTCGCGTACTTCGTCTAAATGAATTTAAATGAATTTTTTTGGAAACTATAAGAAAATGTGAGATTAAGCTAAAATCAACAAGTTAATAACTAATTACCTTTGAATAATTCTCTTAAGGGCTCAATAAGTTTTAATTTCATATCCTCTAATAATCCACCAACATTCTAATTCAAGAAAATTTTAGTTATTTTTAAATCAAATCCTCTTTTTCATAAAAACACCTACTATAGCTTACTATAGCTTACATGATGAGTTTTAATAGTGGCACTTGGTCCTTTAAATGAAACACTTTCAATGACATCAGGATATAAAGTTCCTTGAAGAAGATATTCAATTCGACAATGTCCAGTCTCCTTTGTTTCTTGATCAATCTTCAAAGCTTCTGATTCAAACACTTCAATAAACGTGTTTCCAATAATCTTTCGTTTTTTTTCAGGATCAGTGACGCCTTTAAGGCGATCGAGAAATATTTCGGAAGCATCTACAACTTTTAAATTTATTCCGAGATGATCACCGAGATTTTTCTTAACAGTCTCACATTCGTTCAACCTCATCAAGCCATTATCAACAAGAATTGCATGAAACCTAACGAATTCACAAAAAAATTAGGTCTGAAGAAAAGAAAAAAAAAATTCTTAGACAACCTACCTATCCCCGATCGCTTCTTTCATCAATCGGGCGGCAACTGTGCTATCCACTCCACCACTTACGGCTCCAACAACTTGTCCATTAGGTCCTATAATCTGCTGAATTCGTGCTATCTCATTATCAATAAATGATTTCTAAAAAACAAATAAAATAAAATAGTGAATATTAAAAACTTTAGGAGATAAACACAATATTAGCATACTAACCATTGTCCAGTTCGTCTTGCACTCACAAATGTTTATAACAAAGTTTTTTAGAATCTCTTTTCCTAGAGGTGTATGTGTTACCTCAGGATGAAATTGAATACCAAATAAATGTTTCTCTTCATGAGCAATTGCTGAAAATGGCGCAGTTAATGTGTGTCCGATCACCTTAAAACCCTCGGGAGCTTTATCTAATTGATCACCATGGCTCATCCAAACCTATAATAATATATTTAACCATTCGACGCGAAGAAAAAAAGTTGAAATTATAAAATCATAAATTCATACTTGTATGGAATCTTCTATACCATCAAATAATCTGTCAACGAATGGATGACCTTGATGCTTATCAACCTTCATTAATGCGTGGCCATATTCTCTATTATTACAAGGTGCTACTGAACCACCATGATTCCATGCAATTTCCTAAATTTTAGAGTTAATTAGATGAGAGAGAATGATATTAAAGGCATTCAACATTACCTGAAGGCCATAGCAAATTCCTAATATGGGTATTCCTAAATTAAATATTTCAGGATCTACACGCGGTGCATCTTTGTCATAAACTGAATAAGGACTTCCCGAGAGAATAACACCTAGAAACAAAAAAAAGCTGTTAAATAATTCACGCATCATTTGGATACTTTTTATTTAATGCAAAATGAACGACACCTCTAGGTTCGAATTGTAACCCTTTGATTTTTTGGGTGCATGGTAGCATTTCACAATATACACCAAATTCTCTGATACGTCTTGCAATTAAATGCGAGTATTGGGAACCAAAATCCAGGATTAGAATTGTGTCGTAAAGAGAATGAACCTGTGTAACCTGTTCTTGTATCGACATTGCTTTTTACAAAAACTTAGAATTTGAAGTAATGAGGGTTTATTTGGGTTTTTTTGACGCGAAAATTATTGTTTTTAGTTTAAAAAGGAGAAAAAAAATTTCGAGATTTGATCAACACAATCTTTAAATGTCGATCAAATAGGGTCCGGATTATTTACTCGGTAACTCGGATCGGATCGTTTCATTGTATTTTTACAAAATTATGAATTTAAAATGTTCTTATTTGTACAACTTCCAATATCGATATTGGGGCGTTGGCCTAATGGATAAGGCATCAGACTTCGGATCTGGGGATTGTGGGTTCGAGTCCCATGCGCCTCGTTTCTAAAAAACAATTTATTTTTTAAAAAAAATTCATTATTTTTCAGTAAAAAATTTGTTCGATTTAAAAAAAATTTCATCCAATTTCCGACAAAAGTCCTCATCTTTTATATAACTTGTTTTGTCGATCATTATAACATACATTTTACTATTATGCTTAAAAAAAAAAAATCACATGACTCTAATAGTAATACTACATGATAACTATTGTAATATTTACAAAAGTTTTTTCAAAAAATCCGTCGTATTTTGGCTTAAGTCCTTTAATATTAATTACATTTTGATTAATATACTACATTTATTCGACTACTTTTTGTTTAAAAAAAATAAATAAATAATACTAATTATTATATAATAAGAATATTTTAATAAAATTAATTATATATGTGTTGTGTATATATCGCCCAACCAATCTATAAATTATTATTACCATTACCATTACCGCTAAAAAATTAGATTAATTAAGAAAAAAATATTATACATTATTTTGCATTGAATCGTTATTTGACATTTCTTGTAAAACATCTAAAAATAGAATTGAATATATTTCATTAATATTAAAGATATATTTGGTAAAATACTTTTAAATAAAGGACTTACCATGCCAATAGTTATTTTGTAAATTATTTAACAGTTGATTAGCAGTTTGATCATCCATTTCAGTATTAGCATCAATTAAATTCCAACTTTCTTCAAACGAATTTTCTCCTTCATTACTTACACTTGAAATAAACAAAAAGATTATGATTAACAATTATAGTAGAAACAAATTAAATTTTCTAATAACTTACATATCACTTGATATTCTTGAAGAATATTCTCCAGAAGAACGTCTGAATGAAGATCTCGAACTGAAATAGTCCAAGTAATCAGAAATATGATGATCGGAATTAACGGAATTAGGTGAACCAGGAGAAACAGGAGAAACAGGTGTTTGAGATGATATTGGTGTACCAGTCGAAGAAACCGGGCTTGGAGTGCCCCTTATATTACGTGTTTGCGAACCTCTACTTAAATTTGTATCGATTCTCAGAGTTTGTGCATCGGAATCATTAACCATAATGCGTGGAACTAAATTAAAAAAAAAATAATTAGTTTAAATGTATATAAAAATCAATGAATAGTTAATAATTAAACTTACCGCCAATACCATTTGCTGTTGTTTCACTATGTCTTTCAACTCTTAATCGTCGTTCTCTAATCATTTTGAATTTCTTACGCCAATAAATTGTTCGTAATAAAGATTTGACGAGGTCTTTATTAACATTGTCATTAACTCTTTCTAACTTTTCTTTACGTTTTATGTATTCGTGAATTCTATATATAATATGATGAGTAAAAACAATTTAGTAAACTTCTATTTTCTAAAGTAAAATTCACTTATACTTTAACTTACTCTAAACATTGGTCGTCGTTAATCAGTCTATAATGCGCAAACATTATGAGCATATTAGTAAACGAAATCCCCTTTTCATTTCCATCGGAATCCTTTTCAACTGATAGTAATGCTTCCTAAAAGATACGAATAAATAAACGAACATAAATAAAATAAATTTCCCAGATATAAACTATTTAAAATTCATACGTTCAATTTACCTGATATATTTGATTATAAATTTTTCTACGTTCATAAATTTGACTTGTATTAATTTTTGATAAATTTCGTTCTAATTTTCTGATGTCAAGATTTTCAACTTCGATTAAACTATTTTTTTGTTTATTAGTACCCCATATTTGTCCTAGTGGTCCTTCCTCATGTGTAACAATAACAGTGGAATTTTTTATAAGATATGGCACAAGAAATTCATCATCATAAATTCGAACTCGAAACGATCCATTAAGTTTCTGTTATAAAATACATCGACAATAAATACCAAATAATATTTCAAAAAAATATATAAATACAAATTAATAACCATGTAAAAAAAAAATTTTTTACCGAGAAAAATTTTGCGATTTCATTGCTTTTTATGTATCCAGTTCTGTCAACATCAACATCCTTCCAAGCTTTCTTGAACGTAAATAATAAACTTCGGTTAAGGAAATAAACCAAAAAAAAAAAAAAAAAAATTAAAAATAAAAAGCAATCCCATTGAAGAAAAGGATATCCTCTGATTTCATCACGAGTAACTAATGAAAAATCTGCAGCAATTTGATAACAATACGAGAAATTGTCCGAAACTACCACAATAAACATATTCGCAAAAATATACATCGACAATACATTCCAGCTTATGAATAATATATATGACCACACTTTACTTCCACAATCTGATCCAAATATGTTATTTTCATCATCTACACAATTTGGTGGTTCAACTGCAAAATCATGCATGATTGAATTCCAGCCCTCACTAAATAATTTTCAATAAAAAGTGGTAAGAATTATATGTCTCTCAAGTACATCAAATTTTTTACCTTTAGAAAATAGCTTACCCAGTTGACATTCTAACAAGGGTTGTAATTGCAGTTGGAAATTGCCTGAAATTTACATGTCTACCTTCATTAGTTCCAAATTTTGTTAATCCAAAAATTTCCATAAACATGATAGTGTACACGACAAATATAATAGACCAGACTGCAAATAAATTGAGAATTGAAGGTAAACTCCCGCTTAAAAATAGAACGTAAAATTATTAATACACATTAAACGATGCATTATTTGATAAAAATTTTCTTAATAAAACTTACATCATATTTTTAAATAATTGATTCATAACATCACTTTTTTGAAATAGTTTTAGACAAATCAACACTAAAAATATATTTTGAGCTTGAGTCATTATTCTACTATTTCTCAATGCTAGAACTGAAATTGTCGTAGCCGCTGCTCCAGTAATCACAATAAAATCAAATACATTCCACTTATTATGAAACACTTTCCATCCTAGACCAATAGCTTTAGCGGACAATTCGAGTACATAAATTACAATGAAAATTATAAATACGACATCTGTAAAAAATAAAAGAGTAAAATTGTTAAACAAAATTTTTATTCTCAAATTAATGAATAATAAATATAAATACCTCTAATATTATCCCAAAGATGTGAAGTACTTTTTATTTCAGTCATTAATAATAAAATATGCAAAATATAAATAATACTCATAATCTTTGAAAGGGTTCCACGCTTTTCTGTTGCATAATCAAAACATAAAGCTCTAAATCTATTACTAGGTCGTCTCTTTGGAATTTTTGAAGGCGTAATTTGTTTCAACAACTTCTTCAGATCGACCCATCGTTTTTGATCGGCAGTTAAATAAGCCATCCCAGATTTCAATTGATAATTGGAAATGATTACGCTTACAAATAATGTCAAAACAAATACAGATCCAGCTAAATTAAAAAAAATAAAAAATAACGCATTCCATTTGGAAACATTAGATTGTGGAGAAAAATCTCGTCCCACAATATTCATAGATGTTGCCATAACATCTATCCACCCTTCTCCAGAAATAATTTCAAATAATATAAGTAAAGCCGATTTAAAATCATCAAAATTATACCCAAAAGGGTTACTCCATACTCTTGGCATCAATACATTAAAATTATATATACTATTGTCAAATTCATCTATACATTGATCATTTGTTACTATGGAATCGTCATCGTCATTACAATAAAAGAATAACCCGGCAAAAATATTAACTCCATAAATCGCAAAAGGTATCACTAAGCTTATGGAAAGTAATGACGCATCAATAATACGGGGAGCTCCCGCAATCAAAATAGAATAAAATATATCTTTCATCGAACTGGAAAATTTGATCAATCTAAGCGCACGTAAAGCTTTAAATGCACGAACGGTTTTTGCAACACCTCCAGTGCTTGTTGCTGAGATTGAAATGTTGATATAAAGAGTGATAAGCACAAAGAAATCTAACTGATTCCAAACATCAAGTAAATATGCATTTGGAGTTAAAAGAAATCCGTCGGCAATAATTTTAATAATGAATTCTACAGTAAATATTCCTGTAAACATAGCATCCGTAATCCAAAACCATGGGTATTTTACATCACCATTTTTTTCAAAATACTCTTTTTGATATGACATATTTGCAAATGCAGCGAAAGCAACACTTGCAATAATGCATAAATAGATGAATGCATTAAATACAAAATTCCATGTTGGTGAAGGTGATGTGCCATATACACGGTCGCCATGACTAGGTTCAACAAGAAGTTGGCAAAATCTTCGAAATCGATTACGAGGAGATAAAAACCAAAGTGATGCATCGTAATTTGGGTGTGCTGCCAAGAAATCAGCTTTAATGGCTTGATGTTCTTGAAAATCATCCATAAATGCTTCTGTAGATCTATCAGTAATTGGTTCGCCAAAGTCAGTTGTTCTCTCAAGCAAAGGCACTTTATCTATTTCATCATGATATCCAAAATATTGTTTAAGACGAATCACAAAATTGGTTGAAGTCTTCTTATTCCCAGTGATATTCTTTTTTCCAGTAGAATTATCGTTATCAGTCAAAAAATCTCTTACTCGACTTTTTTGTGTATGCAAGATCAAATTATATGGAATATTTTCAACAGCCAAAGCTTTTGGTTTGGCTTGGAAGTATTTATAAAAATTCCATCTATAAATAACGTCATCTTTCTTTTCTTTTGGATCAACATCACGTTTAAATGTTTGTAGCTGTATTTTGTGTTTTTGTTCTTCCGCAATTTCAAAATTCTCTTGTAGAACAGCAATAAACATAGTCAACAGGATAACTATCAGGAACAAAAAAGTTATTATATATAAACATAAATCAAATAGCCTATTAAATTAAATAAATTTTATTTTTGACTTACAGTTTGATAGACTGACATATATTATTAAGAATATGACTGATATAATGGCTGTACCTTTACTCCCTTTTTCAGATTCAAACTGCATTGTATTATATAATACAACTGTCCAATCTTCACCCGAAAACAACTGATTATACCAAATAAATAACGAGAAATTAGTACACCAAAAAAAAAAAAGGAAAAGGAAAAGGAAAAAAAAAAGAACAACCATAATAATTTAATGTTACCTGATACAGGGCCAAGAAACTGTTAAAAATATCACTAAATCTCATTGTGTTACCATCTGGAATAGATCCTCTCAACAATTGTACCCCCTACATATATTGACACCTATGTTAACCGAAAATTACCTGCTAAAACTTAATAAATCGTTCATATCATATACTTACGATTATAGCTGCAATGAAATTAACAATAAAAATGAATAAAACTAAATTTGCAAAACCTGCCACACTTCCTAAAACTCTAACCTAAAAATCAATTTATAAATAATCATTAGAAAAATGGGTTAAAATATATAATTTCATAAAATCAATTTTTTTAAAAGAATTTACCAATAAATCTCTCAATCTAGGAATTGCAACAATAACTCTATAAACTCTGAGAATTTGAAATAGAGTTAAGTAAGGATAGATTACAGATTCTTTAATAAAAGGTAATTGTATAATACATGTTACAATAGCCAATGTAAAATCAACAATATTTTTTGTGGACTGGAAAAATAAGTGGTATTTTGGCAAATATGAAAAAAATCTCAATATTATTTCTATTGCAAATACTATTGTAAATATTAATTCTACGCGATCTGAAAAAAATAAAAATATTTAAGTTTACGAATTAAAATAAAAAAAAGGGAAAATAAGCATAAATAATTACCTAAAATAAAACTCTTTTCAGCTGACATATTAGAAGTTCGAAATGCCATTATAAATAAATCAGCAAATATTAAAACGATCCAAACATAAACTGTCTCATCCATCCTACGAGCAAACCAACTAGTTTTAGTCATTTGTTTTCCATCTTGTAGTGTCCAACCTTCCGTATCGTCAGATAAAATCGGTGTTGATCTTAAAAAATACATTATATTTAATTATTAGTTTTTTTTATATAAAAAAAATAAAAACAAACTTCAAAAAAATTCTATATTACTTGGATAATGTAAAGGCAGAATGTGATGTATCTTCTCGAATTTTTGCAAACATTTTTGTAATCACAGCCACGAATAAATTAATTAACCAAAAATTTAAAATAACTACAGTTAAGATAAAGAATATGCTTGCAAAAGCAAAATCTGAATCCATCACACGATACATAAGTTCCGTCCAATTTTGAACTAAAAATGTTAAAATTTTTTGTGAGAAAAATTTGTTTAATATTAATAAATAAATAGATTATTAAATAGTACATACTTGTTGAAATTACAAAAACTAAAATCATGGAAAAAAACACATTATCAAAAGATGCCAATCCACCGGAAGGATTTCCCACTTCCTCGCAAATTTGACCAATAGGACAAATAAATCCTTTTCCGCCGAGAGAACCTGATACCCCAACTGATTTTATCGATCCATCTATATCCATCCATCCTCCACAATATTGGTCTTCATGAAGATAAACATTTGATGGATTATTTATATCTTTCCATACACATCTTCTAGAAAACGATCCTTTGAATGCCTGTACTCCAATTATACTTAACAATATAAAAAAAAATCCAATAAAAGATGTCACATTAACCAATAACGGGGCACTTTTTTTCAGTGATTGCAGGATAGTTGCACATCCACTTGTAATAGCCAATAATCTCAAACTTCTTAAAGTTGAAATTGCTTTAAATAAGAAGAAATGCTGCACTCCTACTAAAGTAATCAACAAATCAATCCAATAAGATACTACTGCAAGTAAATCAATTCTGTTAAAAGTATGCCTAAGGAACGCTGTATTCATTGCTGACTTATGTGCTATAACTCTTGAAACATATTGATTTGACATCTGCGAATATTGTGAATCCGTTGACGCTTCTCTAACATCATGTTTTGACATGATTTCATTTTGCACTGGACTTATTATTAAACCTGATACTATAATACGCGCAATAATTTCCAAACTAAAATATTATCATAAATAACATAAGTAAATAAAAGAAAAAAACCTAAAAAAAAGGGGGGGATCAAATTTCTCTTACGTGTATATTATAAAAATTACTAATAAAGCATAATCAATTCCTGATGATCCCCATTTAGTCCTACGTGGATTGCTATCCGTAACTGGAGTCCATGCATCGATAATTAATAACAAAATATGTGTTATTATAAGACCTAAGATAATTGATTCTGTCCATCTAAAAAAAAAAAAAATTATTATGAAGATCAAATTTATCGTAGATAAAATAAAAAAAAAATTTAAAAAGTATAATTAAGCATCTTACATAATCACAAAAATTATACTTACGGATGATTTATAACTTCATATAATAAGAGCCTAATTGGATTTGTTGGTCCGAATATATATAACGAACGTCCTTCCAAAGGAGACTGTGACTGTAAATTATAAATTGTCTGAGGGCTCCTATCGTTAAATTGACCCGATGGGAACCTTTTTGACTTATGTTGTGAAGAATTAAAATTGTTATTGAGGGTAGGGCTATTTTTATCAGAAAAACGATTACTTTTCCAACTTTTATGACTTGAAGTTCTGGAATGAACATTAGAATCCAACTCTTCTTTTTCAAGCTGTTCTTGTGAAGCATTAGCCATATTTACAACACGAGTGGAAGCTCTTGCAAGCATTTGACTCATTCTACCGAGACTTTTGGTATGTCTTAGAACATTTTTTTTATTATTCTTTCCGTTCGAAGGAGCGAATTCTTGACTTTCATTTGAGACTGGTAAATTTGTAGAGGAGCCTAATGAATGATCCACACGATTTTTTGTTAGTTTTGCCGTATCGCTCTCGTCAATATGATCGAATCCTTCATCATCATCATTATATCTAAAGCCTAACTCACTAGAAAAACTTTCACGTCTTGGTACATCTGACATCTCGACAATATCATCATCGGGTAACATGTTATTTCTTCTCATATTCAAAAATGATGGCATTCGAATTGGTTGGAAGGTTATCGAAGATTCATGAGCATGTAAATCAACGTCTTGATCTGACGAATCTATGAATGTCCTTGAAGTTGTCATCGAAGGCCTTGTTGTAGGTGAATTATAAGAATGACCTAATGTACGGCTCCGATATAAATTAATTTCTCTATTATTATTATTAAAATCATGTGAAGGTGATATTGATCTGGACCTTCTACGAAATCCGGGATCGAGTATTGTTACAGGATTTTGTGAAGTTGTATTTGAACGCCCACGCATGCGTATTTGCTCGCCATTGTTATTATTATTTGCGGTAAGGAACGTCGTTTGAGTGTTATTGGGTTCGTCAAAAGTAACTAATGGTACATCAGTTGGTGGGTCATTTCCCTCCATGTGAATAAATTAAACTTTTTTTTTCTTTGCTCTAAAAAAAAAGAAAAATATTTCGTATTCAATAATGTTTGGTGTAAAAAATGTGAAAATCTCCATATAAAAAAAAATCGAAAAAAAAAAAATTTTGCGGGTATTACTTTAAATTGTAGTAAGTTATTTTTGTTATAAAAACTTTTTTAATACTTACCTTAGAACAAAATTGGTTTCGACGAATCTAAAAATATCCAAGTAAGAATTGTTGGCATTTGGCAAGTACAATATGTTTATATATGAGAACTTGAACCACTAATGTGATATTATAAAAATTAAAGATTTTTTTTTACCCAGAATTAGATAAGAATCAAAATTTTATATTACACAAAATATAAACAGTATAAAAAAAGGTCTGATCGTTTTTTGACTGTGCCAAGATTTTTCCAGTTTCAAAATGCTTGGCAGGTTTAAATTTATTATGGATAAAATCGTATGTAACAAATAAAGTATATAAAATTAAATAATCATCTACAGTACATTTTAGCAGAGATTCTTATTTTATCACCTCAATCAATTAAGTATTTGACGATCCCTTCTTGAATTATCACATAATATATAACATAATACAATAATAATGAGAACAATCTCGTTTCAAATTTAAATTAATGGCAAAACAATTTAATAGTCGTTTAATTCAGATACAAAATAGTAATCTTGTGTACCATAAAATAATTAGGTCTATAGTGTTTGAATACCTAATCAAAAACGTGATTGAAATCAATTACTTTCCCCAAACTTTTTCACGCGAAGCTCCTAACAAAAAAAGGGGATGTTTACGATCATTTAGACAAATATATATATATATATTTTTATTTTTAGGACAACGACAGATACAAAGACAAAAAAATATATATAATTTATCGGTAATTTGACTCGAATAAAAAGCGAACATATAAACACGTGATCAAATTTTATGTCGGGAATTACATTTTATCATTCAATCAAAGAAAATTATAATTTATAGGATTTTTGTTTAAATTAGTCACACTAATCAACAATTTTTTGACTAACGAACTTTAATATTACTACATTAAAATATCGTGTCCCACAGTTATTATTCGCGAGTTTAATTAAAACTTGCATATATGCATAACTTTTTGTGGTTTATTCGTAGTAACGTCATTACCATCCGAGTGTTTTCATATGCCAAAGTGCAACAGTAATTCTAATATAAATGGTAATAAATAGTTTATATAATTATAAAAGATAAATAATATTTACTTTTTGTTTCAAATTATAAATTTGTTAGATTAATAGATCACAAATCTGATAATGGTTACAAATGTCAGAATATAAATAGGATTATAAATCCCCCAAACTCGAAAAGATCAACATATAGTACAATGTCTTTGTGAATAAATAATAGGATAAGTTTCAATTTATTCAAAAATTTCTAACGAAACCTGGTTATATCAGATATAATTAATTAATTAATTATTACTAGAATTATAGAGACTACCAAATATATCAAACACCACTCAAAAAAAAGGCACAATACCGTCATAAATACGTTATTCATTATTTGGTTACACAATGCTGTTAAAAAGTGATATAAAAATTTTCAAAATCATCATAATTTATTTTTTAACAAAATAATGGTTTCGTCAAAAATGAAAAGGTGGTTTCCATTAGTAAAGTTACCAAACAGATATTATGATCCAAAACTTTTAAAATCACGTAAATGGTCACCATGGAATTTCCCATCAAGAAGAAAACACATTTATATCGGAATTTCTTTGGATTGGGCTCTCATCATTATTATATATGCTTTGACAGATTGGTAATTTTTTTATTAATTTTATTTTTTTAATCAAAAAAATTATTTATTTTCATTATTATTTTAGGCTCTTTAAAAATCCTCAACCACCTATTGCTTACTTTTCAGTAAATGATAATTCGTTGAAAGGTCCAGTTGTAGAAGAAATTGTTTCTTCAACATTAGCTACATTAATAAATACAGTTTTACCTGGTGTTATTATGATTTTGTTGGAATTGATTTTCTTTTATGATTTTTGGGATTTTTATCATATGATAATAGGTCATATCACAAGTTTTGGTAAAATCAAAACCATTTCTAACAAACTTTATTACTGCGCCACCGTATAATCTTAATGACAATTTTTTATTATTAGGACTAGGATTATTTACAACTGCGCTTGGATGGGTAACTGTTGGAAGTAAGTTTTTAGTATCTTTTTTATCTTTCAAATCAAATTAAAGTATCGTGTCTATTTTAGGCCATTTGGGACTTCGTCCGACATTCTTAACAAAGTGTCAACCAGACATGTCAAAAGTAGTAGCAATGAATATAACTCAAACTTACTTTACAAATGAAATTTGTACAAGTAAATTAAGTAAAGTAGAATATCAAGGGTGAGAATACATTTAAAAAATTAATTCTTTTATTTATTTTTATTTATTTATTTTTAATAACAATTTTTAGATTTCCAAGTGGACATTCATCTACAGCATTTGCTGGTTGGGTATTTTTTGTATTATATATTAATGGAAAATCAAAACCATGGACAGGGGGAGCTCATTTATGGAAAATTTTAGTACTTTTATTACCTTTATATTTTGCAACATGGATATCTTTAACAAGAATAATGGATTACAGACATTTTCCATTTCAAATAATAGTAGGAGCCTTAATAGGAATTGGTACAGCATTAATTTCATATAGATTACATTTTGGTAATAATGATTGGTTTCTTGGAGCAGGAGATGGAACTGATAATATACCTGGTCATTATAAGTATTTAGAAGATTGGGATGCTATTGATGATCAAGATGAAGTTCCAAATGTTAGTGATAATAATAGAGATTTAGAAATGGGATTAAATGAAGTAGGTAATAGAAATAATACTCATGAAAACAATGAAAGTAGTGAAGTGAATAATGGAAATACTGAAGAAGAAATGAATAATAGAAATAAATGAGAGTATAATAATCAATCTGAAGATAGATTATAATGTAAAGATTATTATTAATGTTTAATTTCAAATCCATGAAATTCAACTTTTTCAATTTCTTCTTCTTGTAAAGTGGTTTTATCAATTCTGGATGAAGGTGATCCTTCATATTGTAACCATTTTTTACTATATAATAATTAAATTTAATATTAAAATAATCCCCTTTTATTTATTTTTTTTTTTTAAAAAAATAGTAGTATGTTTATATTAATTATCTTACAAAATTTCGATTTTTTCTCTTTCACCTTGTGCGATTCCGCTTACTGTACCTCTTTCTAAAAATAATAATTAAGCTAAATGAGTATTTTTTGTAAACATAATTAAAGAAACATATTATAAGATTATAATGAACCCGTATTTTTTACGTATCCAACAAGTTTTAATTCATTCACTTTGTCTTTTGTGTATTTTCGAAACCATACTCCTATTTAAAAAAGAAATTGATGAAAAGTCAATTTTAAAAAAAGAACAAATGACAAAATGGATGAATGGATTTACCTTGTACTTTACCGAATACTTCGTAATATAAACTAACAAATCTAGTCATTGCTAAAGAATTAAAGCAAAATTGTAAAACAATAAAGTTAACCCGATCTCTAATATTCAATAGTGCTACAAAAAGAATTTATTTATTTAGATGCAAATTTCATATGGGAATTTGCACCAATCAATAAAACTACTCCAACCGATTATAGTTAAGCAAAATTTCGATCTGCGATAATGCAGGAAGGGAAATTTCTAATTTCTGCCTATGAAGAATAAACACAAATTATTTTCTTTAAAAAGATTAACTATTATTACGACTTATTTACAAATATTGGGATTAATTTAATCTCACAAGAAACTCGCATAAATGTTCTTCCGTTTAAACTTTTCTTGATTTTCACGCTATGATATATGAATATTGACATTGTGACACCTTATTATTATATAATTATCATGAAAGGGTAACCATAAGTTAAATACGTCATTACCGATCTTTGAACATAATTAATCTCAAATATTTAAATTGAAAAAGTTCTTTAATCAATATAAATAAATATTATATAATTCTCCTAATGATTATGTTGTGCATGATGCATGTTTTTACACAAAAAAAAAAAAAGTGATTTGCATCGGCTTTCGAATGTCAATATACATTGTATTCATTAGTATTTAAACCACCTATTTAAATAATAAATTTTTATTCTTTTCTCTCCCTATCATTTAGGTTTCTTTTTAATTTTCATTCTTTTTCCTTACCACGAAAAAAAATCCCTTCATGGCACTTCCATCGGTTCAAAGAGTTTTTCTTGAATCAATAGCATCTTCATCAGACCCAGAAGGACGTTTTATTGAAGTCAATGGAATTCAAACATATTATAAAAAAGTAATCCCACAAAGTCATAAACATTTATTACAAAATCAACATTTTATTCCGAATGAAACAAATAAACCCGTAATTCTTTTACTACATCATATTCTTGGAAATCTATATACCTGGAGACATCATATGCAACCTTTAGCTGATGCTACGGGATGTCATGTTATAGCTTATGATAGACCAACTTTTGGTTTTACTGAGAGACCCACTAAATGGGAAGAAGGACAAAATCCTTATACTCAAGAAGCATCTGTAGATTTTGCGGTACAACTTGTGGCTAATTTGGGCTATAAAAATAGGAAAATCGCATTCGCTGGAGTATCTGGTGGTGGCGGAATAATTTGTGCCATCGCCATAAAATATCCAGATTTAGTCCATTCTTTAATTTTAATAGCTCCTTCCATAAGACCCGAAGACCAAGGTAAAAATATTATATATAATTTATATGTGTAAAAAATTTTTTTTTTAAAAAAAAAAAGAAATTGAAATCTTTTTTTCTTTCTTTCTTAGGCCCACCGCCAATCGGTCGACATATATTAGGTTCAGCTCCGGGACGACTTTTCATAAAAATTGCATTATATCAATACCTACCACTCACATTATTTTATCACAATACAAACTCAATTCCTGATTGGGAAACTGTAGTAAAACCAACTTATCGAGTTCCATTAACTTTACCAAATTTTTATGAATCATTTTCATGGTTAATGAAGTATTTTGTACCATTAAATATTCTTCCTAACAAAGATATTTTAACGCAAAAACCAATATTATATATATCAGGTGATGATGATAGATATTTACATGTTGATAAACACAGGGAGGTATTTGATGAAATTGCTTCAACTCCGACTTCTTCAACTTCTCATCCAAATTTTAAAATGGAATTCAAAGTAATAAATGAATGTGGTCATTTACCTCAAGATGAAAAACCTCAAGAAGTTTTAAATTCTATTATTGACTTTTTGATTTCATTGCAAATTTAATTATTCTTGCTATTAATTTCAAATGTTTTTAAATTAATTTTTTTTTATTTATGATTTTTTTTATTAATAATATTTTTAAGTTTTTAATGTATTTATACGAAAAATTTTAATTATTAAAAATGCCACTACATGACATTTTTATACGTATGATATGTAGTAAAAAATATTTCATGCCGGTTAAAAATTGTTGCAAGTTTATGTTACGAGTAAACTTAATTAAAGTAATTAAAGTCAACTTCTTAAATAGCAGCAAAACAATCACCTATTGTTCTAAAGTTAGAAAACATCTACCTAAAAGTGATACCGTAATCGGATCACATGAATATCGCGTCCACAATACATAAATACACCAGTTACGCGTTTTTGGTGTATCCGTTTTCCGAAGGGTGGGATGTGCATTACTGATCATTTGATGAGCATTTTTAACCTTTGTACTTGTGTTTCTGTTATGACAGTTTGCCTGCCTTTCTTCCTTTCTTGAAATAATATTTTTGACGCGTTTTTTTATTACGCGTATTGTTATTTCGCATTCCTCTAAAAAAGAATTTTGTGATGAATGGAATATTATACATTTAGTAGGTACAATATATATTTTGTTCAAATAATTCATAATAATGCTTAAATTTGTCAATAAAATTATTCTAGTTTAAATATTATCTTTAATTAATTGAATTAATTAATATTATTATATCATACTGTATATTGTATTTTACTATTAATATAACATTAAAAAGAGAAAAAATATTAATATTATGTATATACGTAAATTTTACTACTAAATATAATATATAAATATACAAACTATACAATATGTATGCTAATTTATGATAAGAAGAAAGAGTTTGATATAATATACAAACTATACGATATAAAATGTATGCTAATTTTATGATAAGAAGAAAGAGGTTGTTTATAATTCTATTAATTCAAACTTAATATACACAGTATATCAGAACATATTAAATTAAAAATTTTCTCTCTTCTTACTAATTCTCCTTTTCATAATCTTCTTTTAATCCTTTTTATTTTCGGATTTCTTACTAAAACTACAAGAAATTTTGTGACTTTTCCAATCTCCCTTTTGACAACTCTTACCACAATATCTTGCATTCTTACAAGGACATTGCATTGTGGTGGATATTTGTCCACAATAATCACATTTATTACCAATAACTTGATTTTCTCCTTCACCACCCCTTGAAGCATTTGTTTTTGATTTATTATTTACATATCCTTTATATCCTTTCAGATTCTCAGGATCTAGTGTCATTATACGTGCATTATTAATCGGGGACACTTCTAATCTAGCTGTCTTTGATAACCCTTCCTGAGGAAGATCTCTAGTTAGATCTTGCACCTACAAAAAATAAAAAATTTGAATATTTAAATTTTTTTTAACAAAATAAGTAAAAATAAAAATAAAAATAAAAATATTTACCGGTTTTTTGACATTTTCAATCTCTGCGATTTGTACCCATATTCCTTGTTCTTCTAATTCTTCATTAAATTCATTTGCTTCACTAGCAGCTTCTCGGAATAAACTTATATCAAATTTATTTGGATGCATATCACTATCAGATCCAAATACAATACATGTTGCAGCTTTATATAAAGAACGAGCTGCCATTGGTCGGTTTGTTTCTCGATATTCTTTACCAACTTTTAAAAACAATTGTTTCGCTTGCTTGAATTTTCTTAAATCTAACATAACAGTAGCAAGATTGAATTGATATCTAAAAAGAATCAAATAATAATAATTTATTAAGTTAATTCAAAAAATATATATAAATGTTTATTTGTACTTACTTTGGATAATAAAGTTGATAGAATGGAAAAGTAAAGTGAAAAGGAATGTTGGGAGTTGACGAATCATCATCTTCAAGCGGTATATCTATAGGAAATGTTGGATTACTTTTGCTACATTCTAAAATATCTATAGCCCATTGAACGATATTACGAATAGATTCAGTATTTGTATTTGGAGATTGCACAAGAGTTTGAGCAAATCTAAAATAATATAGGGACAACATTTCTAAACTTAATAAAAAAGCCCATTTTGGAGAAGTTATGATCTTTGAATAAATTCTTGTTCTTGCATCTGATGTCAAAACAGTTTCTGCTGTCATTGAAGAATTATAACGTAAAGGTTTTACTTCCATTACTGAAGAAATTGGGATTCCATTTAAAGCTTGAATAGCGAAACCTTCAATAAAATCCAATAAATATAAACCCAATAATTTTCTCATACATGCGATATAAATTATACATCTTGTAAATAAGACAGTTTGAGCTTGATCTGGTACAAATTTTAACCAAACAAATGAGGACATTATTCCTTGTTGAAAAGAATCCAATGCTTTATCAATATCATTATGATCTTCACTTTGTAATTGATTTCTTAAAGATCTCATCATTGAAGTAAATTTTTTTTCAGAATATACTCCAAGAAAAGAACCTGAAGTTGTAACAGTTTTAACTATATTCCTAACTTCTGTTACAAAATCTTTTTGTCTAAATAATTCATGTAGTATATCCCTTGCTGCTGATATATAAGACCCAGCTTCATTTATTGCAAGAGCGTTAAAAAAATATGTAAGCGCTTCAGTGTAAGCCTCTCTGTCTTTTTGAGTTGTTATTATTCTTTTACCTCTATGTTGTGAATTTCTATGGTAAACTCTTAAACCTTCTAACCAAAGTTCACCACCTTGATAAACACACCATTCTGCAGAACCATATTCTGGTCTATAACCATGTCTAGAAACACGTTTATATATTCTTAAAAATGGTTGAACCAAACGAATTGGTTTTTGGTGTGTAGCACGATATTTATTCATAACGTAAAAGTTGTTTTATTTTTTAAATCGCAAAGTGAAAAAGTAAAATTTTAAGAGTAAATGATACTTAATTTTAAGTCAATACGCGAAGTTCCAATCGGAAAAATAATTTTTTAAATAACCAAGTATAATGCTGCTGTATTATGGTAAAAAAAAATGTGAACAGAAAATCTTCAAATCATGTGAATTTTGAACAACATTAATTTATTTATACATATGGAATTTGTGAATTTGTGAATTTTTAATAAATAATACTTAATAATACTTTTTTTTTCATTATTATTCGTTTTACATTTGTGAATTAATTGTAATTATATTTGGTAATCATATTAAAAGGTTCCCTTTGTTGTTTTTTTTCCTTTCATTTTGATATAAAAAGAATTTTTTTTTTAAAAAATTTCTTTTTTTTATTTTAAGAACAGAGCACAAAAATAATTTATAATTCTGACATAAAAAAAAAAGCTAATTATATATATATAATAAGTATTGTGTAAAAAAAAGAAAACAGCTTATTAAATTATTTATATAAATTATGTCAAATTCAAGGTATAGTTTGATAAGTAATTGTATATTCGGTATTATATCTTTTACGTTCAGAGAAGAAGCTAAATAATAAATAATTAAATGATTAATAATTGTATTTTTGTAATTAGAAATAGATAACTAAATTAAATTACTTACTAATAAAAAATCAATCCAAAGACTGGGAAAAAGAAGATAAGTAAAGTCCAGAGAAGTTTTCCTGCTGAAGTGCGTTCACTTTTGAAAACTTCATAGATGGCAAAAATATCGAGAATAAACTAAAAAAAACAAAAAATAAAAATAAAAATAAAAAATAAATGATCGAATATAAATAAAAATATATTTTTTTATTATTATAAATATAAATATTTATTTTTATTATTATTAATAATATAAATTACATACGATGAGGAAACCAAAAAATCCTCCACTGTAATGAAGTAAGTTTGCCATTATTATTGAAACTGAAATATTATTTTCTTATCGTTTAAAAAAAAAATGGTCGTAAAGAAAACAAAAGTACAGTTACCGGTTAAGGTCCGCTTAAAAAGCCTGCTCTTATATAATTAGTAAATTATGTAACAAGGTAACGTTAGTGATGTGATAGATAATCAACGATCGGGTTAACGGCTTATCAGTTATTCAGTTATTGAATGTAATTAATAATAACAGATACTGAATACATAATAATAATACTGAATACTATAGTAAGACATGGGCGTTTTTTTTTACGCCTTTGTTTTTATTATTATCACGTGGTAATTTCGATTAATCGAAATATGTTAATCAAAAGTTTAACCGAGGTACAAACTTTAACTTTATCGATAGGATAGCAAAAAGAAAAGTCGAGAACAAGCCAAATCAATAAAATTAAAAATAAAATTAAAAATATCTACAAATGATCAAATGATCTCGCATGAAAACTAAACCGCCAAAAAAAAAAAAATTCTCGAAAATTTGGAAAAAAAAAAAGAAAAATTTGATTGACTGTTGTTTCGAACTAAAAATTTTATACTTTACATTAATAAACCAGATAAATAATAAATACTAAAGAAGTGTATTAAATACTTACTAATAAGTAAATAAGTAAATACACGCGTTTGGTTAAAGGATCACATGATAAATGATTTATGGTTCAATTAGACTCTTACTAACATTGAATAATAATCTTCAAAAATTTTTTTATCCCCCAAATTTTTACTTTTATAACGAAGCGAAATTATCAAAACTTCATCTCCTATATTAATTCTCACGGAAAAAACTTTTTTCTTCTTAAAACGAGGAGGGGGAGATTTTATAGATGAATAAACATCTTTTAACATTACATGAAACGTTTCAAAATTATGTAAAGGTTCTTGTGCGATGAACATAAGTCGTTTATCCGTAAGAAATATTTTACCAGTCGCCGAATACTCTTTTATGGTGGTTCCTTCAATAACCACTTTAAACTTTACTGGTTGATGACGATGAAAATAGGATTCACCTGCCAATGGAACAGGTATTTTGGTATTTTCATGAAATTTTGTTTCGAGAGAATTTATATACGTACTCATATTTACATGTAAAATTACAATAAATAATTATAAAGAAATTATTTGTGAAAGAAGAGAAAGAGAAAAAAAAAAAAAAAAGATTTAAAATGAAAAAGATTTATACAAATGTAAATAAAATATTCAATTCATTTCCATTTATATCTTTTCTATGTATGCTAGATAAATCTAAAATCTAAAAATTTAATATAAATCATAGGAACGTGGGTACATATTTTTATTCGTATTACTAAAAAGGTTTTCATCAGTCGAGTGTAGTAAAAAAATGTAAAAGTATATATCATCCGTTTTACGAAAATGATTGATTACGCGTTTTGTTTTCGTTTCCATAATCTACAATCACTTAACAATTACGAATCATTATAATTTAACATACAGCCTTTATTTATTGACTAATTTGATCATTTTAATCATCGTTTATTACTTTATTTGCAATACGAGGTATAAAATCGGTCTCTGTTTTCTTTATATAGAACTTTAGAATTCTAGAAAAAACATGGCAAATCTGTTCTTTAATAGACAGTGTAACAAGTACTTGCATTATACATAGCAAACTGCAAAAAAGTTGCCTATCGTGTTCTGTATCACCTTACTTTCTTTGAACCCGTATGTATACAGTAACACGAAAAGAGTCCAGCTGAATTCTTTTGCCTTTATACTAATGTTAGTTATGGCGTAGCCAAGTATAGAAATCTGATGTATAACGCTATATACAACTTCAGAGGTTTGGTTTGACCTGTTTGATCCCTGCATTACTTATATTAGAATTTTAGTAATTTAATATCAGGTCGTAATGAGATACTACCAAGTACCTAAATGATTCCGTGCAAAGGATTTATATAATATAAAAGGGAACGTTAACATTGGTTCATTTCATCATGTGATTTGACAATTAATACATCATTGAATTTGTACTCCTGGTACTAATGTGTTCTGATTGGTATAAATATGGCACTAATCAAAATCAACTATAATTTTTGGATTTTTTTTTTGATTCATTACTAATTTTAGGATTAGTGGTAATTATTTATGTCGGGTATTATTTTTTAAAGCAGCAGTGACAACAAGTTTTGGAATATATTAAAATTTTAAAATGTCCCAAAATCTGTCCAAAACTTGTACGAGACTTGACCAAATTTATTCATTTGATTCTTAAAAGTTATAATAGAATGGACCGAAAATATATTCCGATTGTTGATCGATGAATTGGCTTTGCTTAATGGCTTAGCAAGCTTACCTGTAACGATCATTTTATAAAATAGTTACACTTGTATGATTGACAATAACTTCTTTATCTGTCAAATCATCTTTTTGCATTAAAATATCTTGTCCCATCTAAAAAAAAAAAAAAATTTAAATTTTTTTTCTCTCTCTCTCTTTTTCAAATAAAAAAAAAAGAAATGGATATAATAAATCAACTTCCGGATCGTTTATTATTCGCAATACCAAAAAAAGGACGACTTCATGAACAGTGTATATCTTTACTTAAAGGAGCTGATATAAATTTTCATCGTCATAATAGGTTAGATATCGCCTTAGTAAAAAATTTACCTCTCGCACTTATATTCCTTCCAGCAGCTGATATCGCAAAATTTGTTGGAGATGGAAATGTTGATCTGGGTATAACAGGTCAAGATATGGTAGAAGAATGTGAAGTTAGTGATAAAATTGATGAAATTATGGAATTAGGTTTTGGTCATTGTAAATTACAAGTACAAGTACCTATTAAAAGTGGTATAAATAAAGTTGAAGAATTAGTTGGTAAAAAAGTTGTAACTAGTTTTGATGTTTTATCTTCAAAATATTTTTCTCAATTAGATAAAGATAATTTAACTGATAAAGAAAAAGATGAAGGTAAAAAAACTAAAATTGAATATGTTAGTGGTAGCGTTGAAGCTGCTTGCGCTCTTGGATTGGCTGATGGTATCGGTAAGTTGATTTGATTAAATATAATTAAAAAGTATAGTATTATTATAAAAGAAATTTTATAATTTTAATTTTATTAATTTTATTAAAAAAAAAAAAATTTTTTAAATTTTTAATTTAATTATTTAGTCGATTTAGTTGGTAAGTGTTGATTAGTTATTTAAAAACTTTTTCTCTACATATTTAAACTAAAAAATTAACATTCTCCTACTCATAGAAACCGGAGAAACAATGAAAGTAGCAGGTTTACATGCAATTTCAACAGTACTTGAAACACAAGCCATTTTAATTCGAAACAAAAACCCTGCCAATCCATATTTAGTTTCTAAAATAACTTCTCGACTTAAGGGTGTAATAGCAGCAAAAAAATATGTTTTATTAAATTATAATATTATAAGAGATAATCTTAGAGAAGCAACAAAAATTACACCAGGTCGTCAAGCTCCTACGATTAGTCCTTTAGATGATGGTAATTGGGTTGAAGTTCAAAGTATGGTAGTAAAAGAAGAAGTAGCTGAAATTATGGATAAATTGGAAGAAATTGGTGCAAGAGATATTATGTTGTTTAAGATTGATAATTGTAGAGTTTAAAAAAATTAATTTAATTTTTAATTTTCTTTTTTTTTGCTGTATTTTTCTGTATTCAAGTTCAGAATGTTTTTAAAGTTAGAGAAGGTGATGTTCTTAAAAAGTGTATATATTATAATAAATTCCAGTATCTATAAATATTTAATTTAATTCAATCTTTATCTTAATTAAAGTTTTCCTTTCGGTGATAAATCACCACATTCATCCATAATTTCTAATCCACGAATCATCGTGGGTTTAAACATTTTTGCGTAAGCTTTAGCTTGAGCGGAACTAGCTTGATTCCTAGCAATTCTAGCTGCAATGCCTTGAGTGATAACTGCCAACTTTATAAATTTCAATTAATCAGATTGAATAATAAATGAAAATTTATATAATTGAACTTACCCTAAAAAATGAAGATACAATACAAAATTCAAATTTATGTATAGGATAATCTCTTTTCGACTTATCACAATATAATTTAATTAATTCATTAGCCGAAGGAATTGGTAAATCAGGAATATCAAATAAACCTATCATTTTTTCTGAATAATTTTCTTTTGTATAAAAATTCATTAATAAATTTGCCAAATCTGATAAAGGATGTCCAATTGTTGATAATTCCCAATCTAAAACTCCAATAACTTTTGGTTCTGTTGGATGGAATATCAGATTATCTAACTAATAAAAAAAAAATTATTATTAATTATATGTGTGTGTATATATGTATGTTTATTATTATTATTATATAATTTTATCCAGTGTTGGCTAATTGGACTAAATTGGATTATAAAACTGGACTTGTAAATCGGATTTGTAAATTGGACTTGTAAAACTGGACTTGTAAAACTGGACATTCAAATCCAATCAAAAAATAACTGGACTTATAAAGTGACCAACATTGATTTTACCTTAAAATCTCCATGTACAATGGTAGTTTCATCATCAATTTCATTCTTTTTAAACCATCTAATCATATCATCAAGTCTAGGTAATGGACCAACTTCACTACCATTTTCATCTTTAATATTAGCTTGAATCGTTGATACTTTAACTAAAGAACGAAATTGACGTGAATAAAATCCCGAAGATTTTCCATAATTCTCTAATCCAATTGCTTTATAATCAACAGAATGAAGTTTAGCTAATGTATCAATAGCTGAATACCAGCTAAAAAAAAAAAAATCCGAGTTAAAGAAAAATTATGATCTTATTTTTTATAAAATAAAATAAAATAAAATAAAAATACCATTTATATCGATCTTCTTGAGAAAGTGATAATAATCGAACATCTTCAAAAATTCTTCCTTCTAAAAATTCCATCACCTAAGGAAAAAAAAAATCTTTAATTAAATAATTATATATAAAAGAAAAACAATATGTTAAAAGGAATAATTACATAGAAAGGAGTTCCTAAGATTGAATTATCTTCACATAATAGATAAACTTTGGGAACAGGAACGTTGGTATTTTTGCCTAATGCATCCAAAACACGAAATTCTCGTTCAACAGCATGAGCAGTACTTGAAAGTAATGAACCTGGTGGTTTTTTTCGAAGTACATATCGTGTCTTACTGATATAAATTAAGGTAAGTAATTAGGAATAATTAGAGCAATTAAGTAATTTAGAGTAATTAAAGTATTTTCAGAATTATTAAAGTAATTAAGTAATAAGGGTAATTAAAGTATTTCAGAATAATTAAAGTAATTAAGAATCATTTAGTTATTAAAGTTCATCTTACTTTGAATCAAACAAGAGATAAGTTGGATTACTTTGTCCAAATTTAAATTGGCGAACTATTAAAGGAGGTTTGAAATTTGAAATTTTTGTTAACAAATATTTCTCAAGGGTTGAAACATTTATTTGCGATCTATAAAATTGTAATGAATATATATGTATATTAAAAAAAACAGTTCTAACAAAGCTCTCAAAAAATGAAGTTTATTCACCGAACTTCGGTCGTGCCTTGAGCGTTCGTCATTTTTTTTTTCTTTCCCAGAATAATCATCTGATTATCAATTTTTTTTTAAAAAAAAAATTTGTACGTATCACGATTGTGTTACACCGGGAATGCTACGAGCAGAAGATCAGAAGGTTCGGTTTTTAAACCCGAATTAATTAGACATTGAAAAGACAAAGACTTATTAGACTTATTTAAGATCTACTTGTCACACCAATGCAATATTAACATAATTTGTTAAAATTAATATTGTGTTTAATTAAGAAGGTGTGATCGTTAATGCAGTGATAAATTTTTTAAGTTAAAATTACTTTATTAAGGTTGATATTTTTATTTTATTTTTTTTTTCCATTCACACTATGAACTTGATCATAATTTTATAAATAAAATTTCCTATTTCAAATGATGGAAAATTTATCGGTTTACAATTGAAATCAGGTTCTACTTTGTTAGTTAAAATGGAAAATCTCGCCAAGACTTAATTCCTCGGACCGATTGAAACCGTAATTGTTTTTCTTTTAGAAAGTTATACGATTCAAATATATCCCGATCCAATCAACATTTCGAATTTGGGTTTATACAAATTCAAATATTCAAAATAAAAAAAAATAAAAAATTTTTCCTTAATAATCTCATCTCTCAAGAAACATTAGCGAAAAAAAAAACAATTAATAATAATAATAAATACGTCATGGATTCATTATGTAATTGTCGGATTTCTTGGCAGTCTACTTGACTGCTAATTAGTATACCCGGTCTCCAAAGTTGTCTAAAGTCTAAACTTTATTATTTACCATTATGACAATGATATACTAGACTTTTTTTGGAAGGGACCATTATATGTGTCAAATCTTATTTTCATGAAATATTATTTAAATATTTCAAAAGATTTCATAAGGATAAAGGAATGATGGGAGGGGTTTATTAAATTTAAATATTTTTTAAATATAACATATGAAAACGAAAGAAAAAAAAAAAAGATTTTTTTTTTTATTATAAATCATTATCAAAATATCGGAATATCGGTATAAAATTTTATCAAATGAAACTAAACTAAAAAATTTTTAAGTTTTTTATATATATATATACAGTATATCTATGCGGAAAATCATGGTTACCAGTTTATTTCGTTTATTTCGGTTATTTCTTTTAAAATCCCCATATTTATATTAAACCCTTTTTCGAGAATTCTTTTTTTCTTTTTTAAATTAACGAATGAACTTATTAAAGAAAAATCCGCGGAAGAATTCAATGAAAAGACATTTTCGTGTAACAAAAATGAATATTTTTATCTATATTTCGGTATTTCCACGGAAAAGTCTTTTAAAGTAGAATTTACCAAGTTTGGTCTTTATGTTAAAAAATGGTAAGATATGGTTACTAATAATAGATACAAAAAAAAAGGGACGATTGGTGATCTACCCTAATTAATATTAAAAGGTGCATATAGATAAGTGCATATTGTACTCTTTAAATAGATTATGTTCGTCTAAAGTAAATAATAATATAAACAAATGTTTTTGGTTAAAAAAAAAAAAAAAATTATATATAATCCAATTAATGTAAAAAAAAAAGGGTTTTATTTTTTTCTTCAACCTTTTGTTTTTTTAAAAAAAAAATTTTATTATTATTTTATTATTATTAATTTTTTTTGTTAATAGAGGATGATTGAATTTAAATTTAAATATTTGATTCTATCATGTATTCTTTTACATTATTTCATCGATATTTCTATTCAACAATCAGCATATGATGATGGTACTAGTGGATTAGACGAACCTCCTCCAATATGGACATGTAATGGAACAGATTTAACAGTTCGTTCATACGATGGTACCTGTAATAATATTTTACATAATAATTGGGGAGCACCAAATCGTGTATACGATCGTGGATTCTTCCCTGCATATTATCAAGATAATTTCTCTGGCGCTCCAAAATTAACTATTGATTGTAGACAACTAAGTAATGTGTTAGGTGATAATGGTTTACCTCCAACATTTACTGGTAATCCATTAGGTGATGATGTTCTTAGCACTACAAGAAAGAATATATTTGAAATTGTAAGTTAATTTCTTATTACCCTTTTTTTTTAAAAAAAAAAAAAACTTGAAAATTAACCTGAAATTAATTTGAAAATCATATAGTTCTTTGGACAATTAATTAATCATGACCTTGAAGATGCTGCTCTTCAAAGTTCAACACCTGGAATTTCTATTGCTGATGTAACCAATGATATTGTATATAATACTCAACCTGGTAATATATGGAATCCTAATGCAACTCAATGTAAGTAAAAAAAAAAAATTTTTTTTTATGGCGCAGTATAATGTAAATTACGCAAATTGTAATAACAATCAATTTATTTTCTTCTAGATATGACAGCAACTCTTTCACTTGGAAGAGTATTAAATTCAACACTTTATCCTGCAAATAAGGCAAATTCATATCTTGATCTTTCTGCAGTTTACGGAAATAATCCTGATGATGGTGATGGTTTACGTGATAAGAAAGATGGAACATTGACTTTATCAAAATTTGTAGCAAATGGTGGTGTATATAATGCAAAAATATTAAATATTACCGTAGAAAATGTTGCTCCAAGTCCACAAGATACAAATGTATTCCCAAGTTTAAATGCTCCTCCAATTCCTGTTGAACAAGCAATGGTTAGTGGTGATTCTAGAGCTTCCGAAAATGTTCAATTGGCCATTATGCATACTATTTGGATAAGAGAACATAATTTTCAAGCAAAACAAGTTGTTGCAAAAAATCCGAAATTAGTTGGAAATGATGAAGCAATTTATCAACAAGCACGTAGAATGACAATTGCAGAATATCAACATATCGTATATGAAGAATTTTTACCAGCTGCACTTGGATTTAAAATGCCTCCTTATGGTGGTTACGATCAAAATATTTATGTTGATACTTCAGTTGTATTCGCCGCTGCTGCTTTCCGTTATGGTCACTCTCAAGTTCGTCCTTATAATATTGTTGACGGATGTACAGAAGAACTTATTCCTTTACATCCAGATTATCAAACTGCAGATTCTCATCCAAATAGATTCTTTTATATCGGTAGATCTATTTCTGTTGACCCACCACCAAATTCTCCGTTAACTCATGATCAACTTGATTATACTCCCGCTCGTATGATTGCTTTAGCTGGTGGAACTTCAAATGGTGTTGATAATATTGTTGTTAGTATGTTGAGAGAATTAGCCGCCGAATTTGATTTATTAATTACAACTCCTATAAGACATATGCCTGCTCTTATTGATTTATTCGCCGTAGACATTGCAAGAGGTAATAAAATAAAATTTTCAGATTTTTTTTTTAAAAAAAAAAAAAATTGTACGTGTTATTAAAATCAACTTTTTTTTAAATTAATTAGGTCGATTGTCTGGACTTCAACCTTATAATCAATATCGAGCAGTTTATCATCCAGCAGGAGATTTATACAGTAATCCAGTATGTGATATAAATGCAGCAGAAGATTCCATAGAATGTTTCTCATTAATAACCAGTAACTTAACGGTAGCAACAAATCTTAAAAGCTTTTATACAAAAGTTAATCTTATCGATGCTATAATTGGAATGTTTGCAGAAGATAAACAATCACCAACAGCTCCACTTCCACCAACAATTGCAAATATAATTAAAGAAGAATTTGAAAAGAAACGTTACGGTGATAGATTTTGGTATGAAGGAGATACTTTTACCGCAGAAGAAAAAGCTTTAATTAAAACTGTAACCATGAAAACAATTATTGAAAGAAATACAAATGTTATTAATGTACAAGCTAATGCTTTCAAAAATCCTGGTGTAAATGATCCAATGCGTAAGTAAAAATTATTTATTTATAGAAATTTTTATTTTATTTTATTTAAAAAAAAAATATTAAAATTTTTTTTTTTTTTTTTTCGTTTATAGCCGTTGTAGGAAAATGTCCAAAAGGACCCGCCAAGGGCGCGAAAGCAAAAGGAACAGCCACTGATGATGGAGTACCAGCTAAAGCGGCAGCACCAGCACCAGCCAAAGGAGCACCTGCCAAAGGAGCACCTGCCAAAGCCAAAGCAGCACCTGCCAAAGCAGCACCAAAAGCTAAGGGAGCATAAATAATATTAATTTTGTAAATCTATAATGGCATAAAAAAAAAGGGTGTCAGTTATTTAGTTATAAAATAACAGATGAAATATGTATATATATCTTTTTAAATTGTATTTCTTTTCGAAATTTTTTCTTTTTTCTTTCTTTTTTTTCCTGGCGAATTTGGAGTTTTTTTTTTTAATAATTAACTTATTATACATAGATTAATTCATATATATATAAATATATAAAAAGTATCGAAAAAACATTATAACAGATAATAATATTTTTTATATAGTCTGTGATTTATTTAAATGATGTTTTATATTGAACACGTCAATTTAATTAATAAAGTTTAAAATTAAATGATAGTCACATACAGTAGTGTATTTTTTTATTTTTTTATTTTTTATTTTTGTTTTTTGCGTCGTATTTTGCGTCGAATTTTACGTCGAATTTTACGTCAAAAAAAAAAAGTTTTTGACATTAAGTTTGGATTTGTCATTATCCGAAAAAAAACATTTATTTCATTTTGTTACAAAAAATTATCATAATGATGAATATGACATTTAAAAAAGTGTTTTTGACATTAAAGTTTGGATTTGTCCTTTATCTGAAAAAAAAAAACATTTGAATATGAAGTTTTCGACATTAAGTTTGGATTTGTCATTAACTATGGTGAATATGACATATTCATATGAAATAATCAAATAATCGATAATTAAAACAAATTTCTATAATCATAAAAAATTTTTCTATGACAAATTTTACGTGTGGTGGCGTCAACGAAACGAATCGCAGTTAACATATGATTACACTTTATGAAAAGCTTATCAAAAATACAAACATTTTTTTTTTTTTTTTTTTTGTACACTGTATTGTGTATTGTAGGGTTGTTAGACTTGTGTAGGGTTTGTACGCAGATTATCTTTTTTTTTTATCATCTTTTTCTCATTTTTTTCATTGTAATAATAATGAAACGGGTTTATTGATACTCCGACCTACCCCCCCCTTTTTTTTATCATTGTAATGTTTTTTTTAAGTTCAATTTTAATATGACGGTATTGATATATATAGTATTCTCATTGCTTGTATGAGTTGCAGCTTGTTTCAGATTTTTTTTTGGATAATTTTGTTTCCTTTTACCGAACTTTCGGCCATTATAAAAATGATAGCGTAAAATGATTGCATAAAAATGATTGCATAAAAATGATTGCATAAAAATGATTGCATAAAAATGATTGGATTATAAATTTATAAACTTAAAAATAAATCAAAAGTATCCAAAAATAAATATAATTGATTCAAAAATTTTATTAATAATAAATATTTTATTATTATAATAATATTTTATTCATCCCAATTGTTACTATATTTATTATTATTGTTACTATATTTATTATTATTAAGTTAAAATCGAATCTAAAATATTATCATCACTATCATCTAATAAATCCTTATTATTATTATTATTATTATTATTATTATCATTTAAAATAGTATCTGAAGTTAAAGAAATCATACTTTTAATTTTTTCTACATAATCTTTAACAACATTTAAAGCTTCAACCCCTTTAATTTTTTCTTTAATAATTTCTTGTTGATAAATTGGTAAATTTTCAAATTTTTCTTTTAATTCATCATCTTTATAAAGATCAATTAAAGCATCTTCAAATAATAATAAAGTAACTTGATTAATCCTTTCATTTAATTTATTTTCAATATTCTCTTCTTGATTTTGTTTTATAATAGGACCAAATTTTGATACTACACTACAAACTCTATTTTCATTAATAAATGTTAAAAATTCATCATACATTTCATTCATTGGTTGAATTGATTTTTTTCTTGATTCTTCTTTATATTCGCGTTTTTTAGTTCGAACGCGTTCTACGAAATCTGTAGTTTTAATCTTTAAAATTACGCGTCTATCCTTATCTTTCGCACGAATTGTTAATACCGGTTTTATGATTACGCCTTCAGCTCTATTTTGGAATGGCAATGGCGGTAATCCCATTAAGTCCTATTATGGTAGTCGGATAAATTAAATAATTGGAAATAGGATAAAATTGGATAAATAGGATAATTGGATAAATAGGGTAAGTAGGATAAATAGGATTAAATGGGGTAAGTAGGATAAATAATAGGATTAAATAGGATAAATAGGGTAAGTAGATTAAAATTGGATTAAATAGAATTAAGCAGGATAAGATTAAGTAGGATTAAATAGGATAATAGAATTATTAGGATTAAATAGGATAGGATAAATAGAATAACGTTTAGAGTAAAAGTAAAAAAAAATAAATTAATTAAACTCTTTTTTCTTTATATGAAAATTGAAATAACATAACATTAATAATAAAAAATTTATAATTACCGGAATTGTAGTAATAAAATCAGGATTATAATTAAAAGCATCATTAAAAGAACCTCTAAATAAAGGTTTAAGATATGGTAATTCAGATTCTTTAAATAAATCAATCATAATATCATAATTTAAAAAATCTTTTCCATCATAAATATCAAAAGCCAAGAAATCATTTTGTGGACAATAATCTATACCAAATTGACACATTATAGCATTTTTTATAGGTTTTACATCAGGATGAGAATATCTACCACCAAATAATTCACCAAATATTATAATAACTTTTTCATCATCATCATTTAAATTATCATCATCATTATTATTTGATTTTGATTTTGATTTTGATTTAATTAAATTTTTTGTTAACATTATATCCCATAATTTTATAATATTTTTATAATATCTTTCTTTAACATTTTGAAATCCATAATATTCAGTTGAATCTGTTAAAAGTCCTAATCTACTAGCACATTTGATTTCTTTACCATTGGTAATAAAAGAGAAATTACTACCATGAACTTTTTCTGTTACGACCCACCTTTAAAAAATTTTTTTAAAAAAAAGAATGGATTAATAAAAAAAAGTTACAGTGTTACAATGTTATAGAGTTAATACGTGTTATACAATAATTCTTGTGATGTATAAGTATATACTTACTCGCATTTGTCTAAAAGATTTTCTTTTTTAAATATTTCTACCCTTTTAGAATTTGAAGTGGTTTCGATTGCATGATATTTAACATGTTTGTTAATATTCCACCATTCATTTGATGTTGATGAATCAATTGTAGTCATCTTTTAATGATTGAATGATTTATTGAATGATTTTGTTCGTAGTTAGAACGAAATCTCTCCCTAGTCTCTCCTCGACTTTATATAATTATTTTAACATTGCTGCGAATTGCTGCGAATTGCTGCGTGTGGCAAAGTAAAAATAAAATACGGAGTAAAATCACCGGAAATGTAAACTAACTATATTAAGTATTCCATTTATTTAGCCAGGAATATCAATAAAATGTTAATTAGAGTTAGTCACTTTTTCTAAAAAAGGAAATATTGTATCACATTGTAATGATTTCTCTTCGGGCTTATACCCTTGTGTTACGCTACGGTCAATCACGAAAAGTATTAAGTTACTTTGAAACAAGTTTAAAAGAAGACAAACAAAGAAAAAATACCTTTTTTCTTAAAAGAATTGAATGAAAAGGTTTTAAAGTTTTTAATTCATTATAATTTTTCTAATTTAATATTAGACCAATCTTTTTTATTACGACCCAACGGGAAAAACAACAAATAAATCTTTGACAATACGTAACGAATAATTCTAAAAAACTTTTTTTTTTTTGAAACTAATTACGAAAAAACTACGTATTTTAAAAAAAAAATATTAACTATTATCCAAGTCGGGCAAAAAAAAAATAGTGTTAAATGTGTTAAATGTATAGTTGTTATAGTTGTTAAATGTATTGTGTTAAGATATACATATATATATATATATATATATTGTATATATACATATATACATATACGTATATTTATTTTCCGCCAAGTCGCCAATAAGTTGCCAATATGGCCTGATTTCATCACATTTTCAATTAAAAAAAGGAAACTTCCTTATAAATTACAAAATATTGCATATATATTTTGCATATATTTAAATTAAATACTACACACGTTGAAATACACAAATTCACCTTGTGATCTTTTATGAAATAAAGGGTTTTATTATTTATTGATCACATTAATCACATCCCTCGTGATCCATGAATATAATAACCTTCTAGCACGTACTTCCTTGTATTACACTCGTTTAATCCAATTAAAGTTAATGTTTATTACTTATTAGTGAAACATCCTACCAAAATTGCCTTTTAAACGTTTAAAAATTCGTTAAATAAACTTGAATTAAAATAAAAAAATAAAATAATTATAGTTCGACCAACCGTCAATCCTTTTTTTTTTCTCTTTCATATAATAATAAATAATAATAATAATAATAATAATGTATATATATG